TCGTCCCATTTTTTCCTATTCCCTAATTCACAACTTATTCCAACATGCGCAAAACATTGTGTTTTCACAGGTAGATGTGCATGTCTCTCTCGTCCCATTTTTTCCTATTCCCTAATTCACGACTTATTCGTTTGACGTGGCCCTGCCAATGGATTATGTCATTTGTGACGTGCTGCTTCTTTTTAAGAGACAAATATTTCCTATTTTTATTTAGGAGCTGTCTCATGCTGTTCAAGTTGCAAAATCCATTGGCAGGGCCACGTCAAACGAATAAGTCGTGAATTAGGGAATAGGAAAAAATGGGACGAGAGAGACATGCACATCTACCTGTGAAAACAATGTTTTGCGCATGTTGGAATAAGTTGTGAATTAGGGAATAGGAAAAAATGGGACGAGAGACACATGCAGCATTTACCTGTGAAAACACAATGTTTTTTGCAGTTTGGAATAAGTTGCGAATTAGGGAATAGAAAAAATGGGACGGGAAGCACAAAGGTTGCACTTACCTGTGAAAACGCAATGTTTTGTGCACTTAGGAACAAGTTGCGAATTAGGGAATAGAAAAAAATGGGACGGGAGACAGACAGGAGGCATTTACTTGTGAAAAGCCAATGTTTTGCGCAGTTTGGAAGAAGATCAGCAGCATGCACATTGATGTTTCCACAAAAGAGTTTGGAGACCAAAAGATGTGAAAACATCAGAGAGCGAGACAGTAGATGGACAAAATATTCAAACCCTACAGCACGCACGATGTTGAACCCCCGCACTCCCAAATCTCAATGTTTCAGCGCGCGTGTTAGCAAAAGTGATGTTAGGGGTTTGATTTTTTTCGTCCATTGGGGCTAACGCACTTCAGGTTACAATAACATTGAACTTTGGGGGCGAGGGGGTTGTACCGGATAGAAGGGGTTTGAATATTTCGTCCATCTACGGTACCAACTGGGGTGTGCGGCATGCCGCACACCCCAGTTGGTACCGTCTCGCTCTCTGATGTTTTCACATCTTTTGGTCTCCAAACTCTGTTGTGGAAACATCAATGTGCATGCTGCTGATCTTCTTCCAAACTGCGCAAAGCATTGGCTTTTCACAAGTAAATGCCTACTGTCTGTCTCCCGTTCCCTTTTTTTTTCTATTCCCTAATTCGCAACTTATTCCTAAGTGCACAAAACATTGTGTTTTCACAGGTCTGTGCAACCTTTGTGCTTCCCGTCCCAATTTTTTCTATTCCCTAATTCGCAACTTATTCCAAACTGCAAAAAACATTGTGTTTTCACGGGTAAATGCTGCATGTGTCTCTCGTCCCATTTTTTTCCTATTCCCTAATTCACAACTTATTCCAACATGCGCAAAACATTGTGTTTTCACGGGTAGATGTGCATGTCTCTCTCGTCCCATTTTTTCCTACTCCCTAATTCAGGACTTATTCGTTTGACGTGGCCCTGCCAATGGATTATGTCATTTGTGACGTGCTGCTTCTTTTTAAGAGAAAAATATTTCCTATTTTTAATTAGGAGCTGTCTCATGCTGTTCAAGTTGCAAAATCCATTGGCAGGGCCACGTCAAACGAATAAGTCGTGAATTAGGGAATAGGAAAAAATGGGACGAGAGAGACATGCACATCTACCTGTGAAAACACAATGTTTTGCGCATGTTGGAATAAGTTGTGAATTAGGGAATAGGAAAAAATGGGACGAGAGACACATGCAGCATTTACCTGTGAAAACACAATGTTTTTTGCAGTTTGGAATAAGTTGCGAATTAGGGAATAGAAAAAAATGGGACGGGAAGCACAAAGGTTGCACTTACCTGTGAAAACACAATGTTTTGTGCACTTAGGAATAAGTTGCGAATTAGGGAATAGAAAAAAATGGGACGGGAGACAGACAGGAGGCATTTACTTGTGAAAAGCCAATGTTTTGCGCAGTTTGGAAGAAGATCAGCAGCATGCACATTGATGTTTCCACAACAGAGTTTGGAGACCAATAGATGTGAAAACATCAGAGAACGAGACAGTAGATGAACAAAATATTCAAACCCTGCAGCACGCACTATGGTGAACCCCCGCACCCCCAAATCTCAATGTTTCAGCGCGCGTGTTAGCAAAAGTGATGTTAGGGGTTTGATTTTTTTCGTCCATTGGGGCTAACGCACTTCAGGTTACAATAACATTGAACTTTGGGGGCGAGGGGGTTGTACCGGATAGAAGGGGTTTGAATATTTCGTCCATCTACGGTAGTTTTGCAAAGAAACTGTCACAGATTGTCACAGATTGTCACACACAAACACGCACTCTTTGAATAACTCACAAATGACTGCTGCAAGTCGGTGTCATCCGTCAGCCCCACCAGCCATAGAGCTGGGCAGTCCGCCTTGAGGTTCTTGTCACCGCACCTGGCCTGCAACAGGCCCCTGAGCGGAGAAGGGCCGGTTTGGCCTAGCATTGATCATCACTATTGGGAGGGGCTGGGAGGGGGGACTATTCATGAACCGACAAATTGGAAAAGGACGTCCATGCTGCATGCTTTCAACTTTGTATTTTGGATGATGATATCCAAAGCATCTATTACTCAAATCACCGGATGAACAAATGCATGCTCTATGACGCTGTGTAATATATTTAATATGAAGCATTGTAAAAATTGATGTGACATGAATATGTGGCTGATCATTGTATACACGTGTGGGTAATCAACAAATGGTATTTTGATCTCACCAACAGGTGATGGATTTAGATGATCTCATGATCATTGACTTGTTTGGGGAATTTGGGGCATTATCCCTCTAAAAAGCATCATGTGTGGTGATGGCGTTGTTTTTGAGGTCGCGCCTTCAGCCATCCAATGATCGGAGTGACTGATACATAGCCAATATTGGATACCCTGTAACAAATTATATCGATTTCTAGCTGGTTGGGTTGATGATTACAAATGATTATATGACCATTGTCAATATATATTTGGGAGGTTAGGTGACATTGTTCCTATGTTTCGTTTATTTTTAAATAGGCGCTTTGTGTTATCCTCCAGTAAACTATCATAGATGATGTGGACAACAACACCACTTGTAGATGATTTTCCTCGGGAAATGATCCAAAAACGATGGCTTTTCCACATCGTTTCTCAAACTGAGCAGCTTAAGAACCACCTGATTTGGCGCCTCAAGCGTTTGGCTTCCTTGTCGGACATCAGCAATCTGTCACCTCAAAGTCCCGTTGTAAAAGGTTGGATGGTCCTGCAATGGAGAATCACCAATATATGCATACATGCGTACATTACAATGCATTACAGCACAGACCGTTATAGCACATTAGTACATTATATTAAATAACATCAAATGACATTATATATATATACACATTACCTACATACATACTGTACATATGTAGACGTGTATATATATAATACGTTTACATATATATATATATATACGTACATATATATATATATATACACGTATATATGTATACATGTACATATGTATAGTGAAAAGTCTAGATGTTTATGATATTACATGACATCACATGGATTAAACACGTTGATATAAAATAATGACATCTAATCACGCTACTATATCCGTAATATTATATATATAATATACTAAATATTGACTTATGTATATTAGTATATTATAGATATAGTGACTGAAAAATATACTAAGTAACATTAAGTAACTAGACTTAGTTAAATATGTAAAGATTGCCTAAATAACTGGTCAAACGGTGGTCGAGATCAGTGACCTCCCCAGAGGCCGCGAGGCAAAGGCCGCTCTGAGACAGGGACTGTCGGAGGCAACCAGACAGGTTGGCCTCGAGAAACGTCGAAAAAACGCGGGGATTGTACCCCAAACATCCACAATTGGGGAGTGTTGGGAATTGATCAACAGTTGTGGAATTGTGGGATTTATCAAACACAACATCAACAATTGGAGCTTGATTCACTTGATCAAGAGTTTTTTTGAATTTACAGTAAAATGATTTGAGCAGGAATAGGTGGATTGTACCCCAAACATTTCTGCTTGGTGGTTTCAACTCCTCTGAAAAATGTGAAAGTCAGTTGGGATGATTATTCCCAATATATGGAAGATAAAAATGTTCCAAAGCACCAACCAGGGAAAATTTGATTTATGGAATATGATCATTGATTTATCATATATGATATATGTGATGAAGACATTTTGGGTGATAATCATGATTTATGTGTGATTAAGGGACTTCCCCATGATATATGGTGTGATTTATGTGGTTCATTTATATAGTTATTATATGTAACTACGCCAAAATCATGGGATAGATTGGGATAGTCAATGGAAAATTACTATCTGCAAAGGTGGCTGTTGAAAATCCTCTGCAAATAATGCTTGAATGGGAACATCATTTTTATTTATGTATAAGTGCTGGATTTTCCATTGCCATGGAGGGTCACAAGCAAAACCGATGGGTTTTCTCTGCAGAAACGATTGGATACCCCTGATTAAGTGGTTAGATCCCAGCTGTTGATGGTTAAATATCCAGTATCATTATAAGTTTCATTTCTGCCGGTCCAACCTGCTATATGTCCATCAAAATCATCAAATGTGTACTTTGGTGGCTCCTGTTGAGCATTCTTGGAGTCCGCTAAGTGGCGACGTTCCACACCCCATAACAGGTGTGATACTTAACTTAATTATGTATCTGGTATTTTAACAAAAGTATCCGGACATGTTTGTGTTTTTTTTAAATCATGCCTAGGCGTTGTCATCATTTAAATGTGCTATATGTATATGTCATCATTCATACTTATATGTATATATCAGATCATATAAACATGTATACCACATATACAGTTATATATATATATATACAACTGTATGCCATACAAATATACATATATATATATATAAATATAATATATAATTCAGTGTGCAGACGACAAACAAATATCATATAATGTATTATAATATAACATACGCGCGTATGTAGCACGTTATATCCCCAAGCCATGAGCAAAAAACCAATCTCTTTTCACGCCGTCGTGCGGTGCACCGCTGGCGCGCCGCGTGGCGCCACGAAGACGGAGCTGGAGGAGCTGGTGGCCTCCTGCGGGGCGAGCTGTGATTCTTTAATCAATGGGAATTTCAGGATCCTAAAATGGAGGTACTGTACCATATAACGCCATATTTTGTGGTGATATTCCCTTACATAGGCCTTATAAATAGGCCTTATATATGGTAGGTACCTCCATCTTAGGATCCTGAAATTCCCATTGATGTAATTGGATTTTCATGGGGATTGTTGATAGGTGATTTCACGGGATTGAGATTCTAGATTTTTAGTGATGGAATGGTGGTTTATTTAGGGTGATTTACTGTGGGTTTCAGCGGGATTTGATAACAGGGCATCGAAAATCAAAGATGTAATTAGTATGATATCAACCAACCAAGTCTTGTTTTTTTCGCCATGGTGACTTAATGGTGAGATAACGGAAGTCTGCTCAGAAGTACTCTATGACATGCACCACGGACTGCCTCGTTGCTATGGCTTGACAAGCCATTTAGGATCCGAAAGCACCAAACAGATCACCTTCTGGATGGGGTTCGGGGCTAACTTCCCAGTATCATGCACTTCTTCACCACCTAATAGCTGGTGATTGTTCAAGTTTCAACACATTCCCCAAAAAACTGACAGCAATGCAAGGGGGCTAACCCCTGCAAATCACCAAAATTCCAATGCTTAGAAGCGTAGTTCCCACATCTTTGGCGCAAATCCATCCCAACTTGAAGCGTCCTGGTTGGCCCAAAGGACTTGAACCTTGGGCAGAGACACCCAGCCGGGCTTCAAAGGAATCAAGCAGAAGGGCTGCAGCACCGGAGACTCCGGCGACACGTCGGGCGCCAGGCTGAGGGGCGAGGCTTGAGAACTCGCGGGGCCGGAGAACAGGTAGCGATCTGAGACATCGCCTTGGTCCGGAGCACCTGGAGATCCAAACTTCAATGGGTTGGTTTCAAGGCAAAGCTGAAGAAAACCATATATAAATAGAGGTTTCTGCAGATTTTGCCTGAGACTCAGTCTGCGAAACCTTGGGGGTTTACATGTGGAGAACTTAGGACTGTGGTGCCAAAAAAAAGGATCAAGTGATAGGTGATAAGTGTGGGATCTATTCGTGGGTGGTTCTCATGTTTGTTTCTGAGTTTCCAGGCCAATATGTTTAATAAGCAGGGCACTTGGTGAGAACCAAAACTATTAAAATTTGAATATAGATATTGAGGGTCAAAAATTCGGAGACTGGGTACGTAGTCCGAGCATTGGATCATGGATGACTATTTATCCATCTATATCCATCTATCTACCTGTCCACTTGCAAAAAAACAACTCCCAGAATATAAAATTGGATGCGGATGCTAAACACTCGTAAACGATAAACAAATTGACCCATCCCCAACTCAAAGACGGGAACTCTTCAACAAATTCGAGTGCATCCCAAGTCACCTTCCTGCAGAATCCGCACCCTGATCTCTTCCTCCGAAAACGTTGCATTTTTCAGGCACACCTCCACCTTCAACGGAGTGCCCACCGTCCCAATGCTGCCGACCTCCAGCTCCACTTGCATCGAGGGCAATGGTGTTGGAAGATCCAGCGGCAGCAGCCACTCCGCAACGCCGCCACCGGGCAGTTGCGCGGGGCGTTTGGCGCTGGGAAGCCATTGGAAGAACTCTCCAACTGCCTCTGCGAGTTTGGGCTGGAGTTTGGTTGTGGTCAAGTGGTTGCAACGGTTGGGGGCTCCCATTGATGGAGACCCTTTTTGGCACTAAACATGATTAAACCATCTGATATTTGTTTGCCTGACTCTATCCACATGTCCTAGCAGCCCCTGCACTTCCAGTTGGGATCATCTGACATATATGAAAGCCCACAAGCCAATTCTATATCGCTGAATGATGTTTATGGTCGCTTACTCATGATTAGGCTTATTCATCATGTGCCTTGCTGAATTGCAGTAATGAATAATTCACTAAGCCGAAACCTAGCTCAAAAAGTGCGGCCATTTGGGGATGATTCCCCTTAGTAACCAAACCATCATTCCAGCGACGTCACGACATGACGTCATAATAATTCATCCAGATTTATTGTATATATATATATATATATACATCATCGTTTCATGTATGCTTGAATGCTGCTTATGGCTGCATCATGCCTACTTTTTTTCCATCATTTATACTAATCTGCTAAATCTGCTAAAGCCAGTGATAAACCATCTCATTTGGGGAGCATACGCAAGTTCCTAAACCTCTATTCTGAGGATTGTTTGTTACATTATTATCACACAATGATTCACTATGACACTTTTATCCCACACTAATCCATATTCTCCCGTATCTTACTACATCCCATTTACTGGCCTTATAAGGCTTCTGAATCCCTCATTGAAATCACCGTGGTCCACGGCTCGGCCTTGTGCTTCTGGAATTCCACCCTCAAGCGCGGGCGGCCAACGGCTCGGCTGATGTTCGCGGGCTGCGGCCAGATGAAGGCATGAGCCGAGCCAATGGCCATCAGCCCAGGTCTTCCCAGGCATTTCCTGGGCCACCAAAAACATCGAGTCGGTAAATTGATAAATGGTTGGCAAATATGAATATCATCTGTAAAACTGGTTTTATTAAATGATGTACATATATATATGTATGTATATGTATATATATATACATATAACCATAATATATATATATACATACATACATAAATAATTTCATAATATATCATATTATAATATATACAATGGGGCATAACTAGGGGGCGCTACCTTGTAGGAATCAAGTGAGATCATCTAATTTCTTGTGGGGAACTTGCAAATGAAGAGAAACAACTCCAACCTGCAGTTCTATAAGCTATAGACATTTCTACCTGTTGTAAGCTATAATTAGAACTGTAGGATATCTGTAGGATTCTATAGCTTCTGACCTTGTTTTACTGTGGTACAATAGAATCCTCATTGGTTCTGGAAAGCGAAACGGAAAAATAAGAAAAATAATGTGGCAAACCAATGGTCGAGGATACGTATGCCTACCATTTGGGGATCGTATCAACCACACCGTCCCAGCCTCCTCGATTTTCTGATTGGGTTTACCACATGGGTATCGGTATGGGTCAAAATTGGGGCATCAATCGGTAAATGAGCAGCAATCAAGACCCTCTGTCATGCCCTTCTAATTGTTTGTTTTGCTATAGTAAGGATTTCCATGACATAACAATCACCAGTAGCTATCAGTAAATCAAGCAGAATAACATCCCTATTCTTTCCAATCAACCAGATATTTTTGATCACTGCTCACATGAAAGCCAGCGCAGTTTCTGACAGCCATCCTCCAACAGGACCTCCACTGTACCTTGGATGGCTGTTCCCTAAAGGAGCCAGCAAAACCCACAAATGTATATGGAATATGGCATGTGGGAATAGTAATTGATAGTAATAAATACTAGAAACTATTAATGTGATTGATTATTGATTTTACTAACATTACCCGAGCACTTGTATGGAGGTTTCCTAAGTCATGGGGGTGCCCAGAATCATCCAAGTCATGGATGACCATGACTTAGGATTGAAACAATCATGGTTTTGCTATGGGGATCTGCCATGACTTAAGAAACCCCCGGTCGTAGTGGATTTTCCATTGGTAAAATAGGCAAAAATCGACTCAGCAAATGAACACCAATATAGTATTGTCAACAACCATATCCTAATACTATCATATTATCTTACCATGACATAAAACACCATGTATCATAATTCAAGTCCAATAAAATCTCTATTTGTTCATGCAAAACATCCCAATAAATCACCATTAAAAAAAACCATTAAACCACCATTTTCCAGCCCATTGAAGCACCATAAAAACAACCATTTTGGATGGTTCAAATCCCATTGAACCCCTCGCCATGGAGCTGGTCTCCACGGGGCCATGCAAGGATTTCAGGGCGAAGGACACGGGTCGCTGCCTGGGTCAGACGAGCCTGACTGGTTTGATCCAGCAAGATATAACTGGTTGCTGGTTTTAACCATCTTGAATTACAACACTGGTTGGTGGTTGAGCCACCCCTCTGAAAAATAGGGATTCTATGGAAAAATATATGAAACATAGTATGGAAAATATGAGTTCGTCAGTTGGGATGATGACATTCCCTGATGGAAAATAAACAATGTTAGCTTGAAACCACCAACCCAATAACAATGTTGGATCTTAATTAATATATGACTATTTTTATACCATGTTATACCTGAATGCATCATAACGGGACAGGGTTTCCAGCATAATGTTGGATCTTGATTAGTGCAATGGGTCGGTATTGTGTCACATTTTTTCTCAGGCACTTTCAGTTTTGTTCAAACGTATTGTTTGTTTCTTTCTTTTTTTGATATTATTTTTCAGCATAAATGTTTTCAGTTTTTTTCAGAAGTTTTTTCTTTTTTAATTTCCAGGCGGTTGTTTATTAAAAGCAACTTGTTTAATAAATTTCCACCAAAAACCACAAAAAACAAATATCATATAACACCAAATTAATTAAAGCACAGCACCCAAACAATTTTTCAAGGGGGTAGCCCATGGGCAACTGAGATCTTCCATCATATGTTCCTTTCTTATCCATTGCTTTCTTGAAGGGTTGAAAGGAAAATCAACTGAACGAAAATCGATGTCAATTGAAACCCTTTCTTCAAACGCATATCAATTGAAAGTAAATTGACATCAATGGACATCCTTAAGATGATCCAATACTATTCCTACCCTGGCCCCTCAAACTTACCAGCCTAAAGAGACCCCTGAAATGTTGGGGGGGCCTACCCTAACCAAGACCCAACACACACACACATACACACACATATGTATATATATATATATATATATAATCTATTTATTTAATTTACTTATTTACTGATATATGTATTTAAATATTCTATTTATACGAATATACTGTAACGTGAATATAGATTTAAAAAGGCAGAATAGGTGCATATCATGAACCTGCCAGACCGAGGTTTACAGTGTTCCCCAAGACACAACCCCCAAGAAAAAAATCAAGTAAATAGATCCGCCAGTGAAGCAAGACCAGAGTATCCATTCACAATCGTTGAATTGCCAAGAGCCGATTCCAAACAAATGGGCATCCTTCCATTTTCATAGTGATTTCATTCTATCTTTTTGGGTGCCCTCCGGTAGAAAAAAGCATGGCTGACAGGAGATTAACCCCATTTAGATCGAGGATTGCCAAGCTAAAACCTCCATTCAATGAGGATTTCTCACTGCCACGTTCGATTATGTATAATATATATATATTTATATTTATATGTATATCAATATCTATCTGGGCAAATTATAATAATTCACTGACCTGAAATAAGGCCATTTTGGGATGATTCCCTTTATTAACCATGATTCCAGGGCTCGGTCGGTATAACTCGCCCAGTTCTCCAAGTTGCAAGGTCAAAGATGTGGCCATCCGTTCCTCCGCGATCTGCAGTCGCATGGCGTGCTGGAAAGTTATGGTAGCTGAAGTGCGGCTGACGGCATGGCCCAAAGTCAAGGCGAAGTTCACTGTCATCTTGCAGGCCCTGGAAGCAGATAGGGGAGTACATGGGAGTACCCTGAGCGTATAACAAACACATATTACAGGTCACAATCAGTCACCACAAATGCAAATAATCGTAATGACAATTGCTGGCACTTCGACCGATTACATCCAACGACCACGCCCATTGTTGTTTCATTCCAGCCCCCACCTGCCGCATTGAACAGCAATGGGCCATGCGTAGCCAACATCCTTTGCTCCCGGTCTCTGCAAGTCCCCAGGTTGGAAGGACAGAACTCCAGCCAAAGGTTGGACCTCTTGGGCCACCTCCGCAAGAAGCTTCTCATCACCTGGACGGACCCCAAGTGACCCAGGGAAAACCACTGGTTGCTATAGGAAAACCATGAGGTTTGGGGCGACCCCCAGCCTTTATAAAACACCCAGCGCCGAATTTGCGGTTTTGTACCTCACAAACTGCGGTTTTGTATCTCACGAACCTGTGTTTGTTCAACTTTGCTCAAACGAGAGTGTGTGTGTGTGTGCATGTGTCACTGTATGACTCTAATTGTGGTCTGCTAGACATGTCATACTTGGTATATGTGCCTAAATATCTACCAATCTATCTATCCATTCTATCAACATCTATTGACCTAGCTACTACCTGTAGCTACAGAATCTATCTAAGCATCAATCTATAAACCTTGTTGTCTATCTGTTTAATATGAACCCATCCAAAAAGCTCCTGGCACTCGGTCCCCATGGCAATGGAGACGTGATTTGATCGGAACATGGGGGGTTCCCAACAGGCCGTTTTACAAGTCGCGTTTCCTATTCATAGCGTTCAAGACTTATTAAATTCAGACAAATCCAATGATATATTTTGGAAATCCCTATGTTCAGTAATTTCCTATTCTTCAAGATTTTATTTTGCAAATGCCTATCGGAATGTGACAAGAGTTTTCAATTATACCCTATACATCCAAATACTCGGAGTGGTGCATGTGTGATTCAGTGGGCTCAATCACATTGTACCTGCATTGGTTAGTGGATAGTCCAACCGTTGCACAGGTTTGCTATTTACAAACGTATATATTTTGCAGAAAATCGTAATTTGTGATGGTCAAGTTACCTATATCATTCCCATTGAATCATAGATGTGCATACGGCCATTGATCCCTATACACAAATTCCTATCCCTCTCTATTTTCTACTTCAAACATGCATCAATCAGTGTGATATTATATTGTTCCTATTTTTGTCAATGACATGCTTAAGTTATATATATATATCACTATTCGAAGTACTAGCAGTGTTACTACTGTTAACATTCTCTCTCATACGTATATTATATAATACTGATTCTATATGTGCATTTGCTGACTGGTTAGTTTCTCATTGCAAATGCACATTTACAGACTGGTTATACATTGTAAGATACTGTCATCTGGTTGGTGGTTTTAACCCATCGCACATATATCCATGTCATCTCAACCAATCATCCCAGTCGTATGGCTGAAGAACAATAAACGTTTGACCACCCCAGCCGGTCATAGTAATTTCTGATTTGGGGGTTTTCAGGGGATCCTCAAGTCACCGTGGTTGTTTCAGTACTAAGTCATGGTCATCAATAACTTAGATGATGCAAGGGGGTTCTCCTATGACTTAGGAACAATCCACAAGAACTGCTTAACAAAAACTGTTAATAGTTAATAGACTCAAAAATGAACCACATCAATATATTCTATTAATATCTATCTGTTACTATTCCCACATGCCATATTCCATATATATTTTAGGGGCTTCAGTAGAGATCATAGGAAAATCACCTGGTCCCATGGTTCAGCACTGGCCCCAGACCCTTCCACCCTGGCCTATGGGGATCAGCTCACACTCCGCAGAGATCAGCGAGACCCGTGGACTCTTGGAGCTTTCCAAGGGATGCGCCGGGAGAACGGTCGCAGGGTCGCCCTCCTCCACCTGCGAGACGACGACGTAACGACGTCCCAAGGTCGCCCGCGTGACGCGGGTGTGATCAAAAACGGCTGGCAAATTTGCTAGACATGGACATTTTAATGGGACAATTATTGAAAAATAAAGGGCAATCCATCCAAATCCTCTATAAACGGAAATTATAATGGGAAAATCAATCACAAAGGTGGATTTTCCCGTTAGCGCCTTTGATTCCCCAAAAGGTATTGGGTAGAGATACTCTCGCACTGTTTTCCATTCATTGCTCAACATAAAGCCATGTTAGCATTAAGCTTAAGCAATCGATTCATCCATTGTACCAAAAGGATCCAAAAGGCCAACATTGTTGTGGGCTGGATGCGCATTTCTTGTGTTTCAATGTGCTTCATATATCCTATATGAGGTGGAGTTCTTGCACCAACAATTCAGGAACATTCGTGAATACATTCTGAAACATTCTTGTTTCCCGGATAAAGCATGGTACATCCTCCCTTTTTGTTGGTTATATCACTTACATCCCAATTCTTGATGGCTACCAGTTCCCCCCTACACCTAAGACCAAAACCTGCCGCAGAAACCCTCATTAAATATGTAGATCCATCCATTCATTTTTGAATCCCAAAAAGGGGGGTCTAGCAACTTTGGAATGGCAATGGATCATGCTGATGTTAGGGTTGTGTGGTGGTGATGAGTGCGCGCACACACACACATACATTCATTCATTCATTCATTCGTTCGTTCATTCATTCATTCATTCATTCACTCATTCATACATACATACATACATATATATATATGCTACGATACCCCCTTTCTATCCGTACTAGAATGGGCTATGGATCACCAACAATTCATGAGTAGTTGGATATATTCGGGAACAATGGGTTAAATCCGTATTGTGAAGGGTTACAGAATCAATCGGTCACTATACCCTCATATGAAATATACATTCTATGAACCATTATACCCTTGTTGTTGATGAAATCCAGTGTTTGATGCTCAACTCGCAATGATTGATGGTCAACCTCATTCCTCTCACCGTTACTCCATTAATATCCTATCGTAGAATCGTATATATATATATATATGTATACAATATAATAGGAACTAAATATATAGTCCAAATCTATCCCCATGATAGCCTTGTATATCTTGTTTCCTGTCCACGGATGGTGTACCTGCACATTGGCCGTCAAACGAAGCTCAGAGGCCGCTGGCGCAACCGGCGCACCGGACAGGGCCAAAAAGAAGAGAAAGGTGTCCTGGGTCAAAGTGAGAAATGGTATATGAAAGCTATACCATACTTAAACGGTATGAACCGCCATGTCAATGTATTTTTTTAAATATACATGTATTGAAAATATACATTTAGACATAGCGACAATTGGGTTATATAATGCATGATAATACATACACAGCTCCTTTAGTGAATTGGATTAAACAAACCAATGTACATGGAACAGTGCTTGGATACTGATCAAATATTGACCGGCAATAGCGGGATGCTTTTTGCAGATTTGAAGATATCTGAAGAATCAAATTTGCGCTTTACCACGAAACACATTGTCATATAACCAGCGCATACCACATTCAAAACCGATCAATCTTGGCAAATGGTTGGTGGCCGGCTCATGGCTTAGCCATCTGTTGATTCAAACAAATGCTCTGACGGGGAAGCAAAATGAACAAAACAACATGCTATTCAATTCGTCTCACAAACTCTGGGAAGATTAACCAATATATGTGTGGATGATATACATTGGCCAAACGACGACTCCACATGACAGGATGGTTATTCTGGGTGTTGCTGTTCCCAACATCCACCCTGCACCAAATTCATTGTCACTCGGTAGGGTTGGGGGTGACACACATTCACAGTTTTTTCTTTGTTTGATCGTGCGTTTTTCATGGCTGCGGGCTGTGGGTTAGTTTGGAGAAGGGATAATCCCATTGGGGGCAAACTACATCTTCGGAGAACTTATCTTGATGTTTGCAAACTATGCATCTCTATAGTCAATCAGTGATACCATCTGGTTATTTAATAGTTCGCCATGGAAAGATCCACTCATTTTTAAAAACGGTAAACCATCTATTTCGATTAGGGCCATCTATACCATGGCAAACTGTGAATGTCATAACCAGAGGGTTTTCACAGCACCCATTTCTGGACGACGGCTTCGGCAGGTCGTCGGCTGAGACCGGTGCAACCAGGGCACTGAAACCAAGGCTTTGGACGGATCCACAGGGAACAACAGCTCAGAGTTCAGTTTCCCGCCTCGAGGCGATTTTTCCCAAGCAGAACAATAAAAAAGAAAACCCATGGTTTCTACAAGGTGGTACCCATATGCTTGCTAAGTTGACTACTAATACTACTAGACTAACTAGGGATTCATAGGTATAATTAGATGAGTTAATAACAACCAAATAATTACAGTAGATTGGGCCACCACCTTGCACCCTTCAATGACGAGGTTCCCGACAATTTTGCCTGTGCGTAAAACTTGGGATGGTATAGCTGCCCTTGAGTGCCAAAGTTGCTAACAGGGAAAAAGAAACAGCAACCAAATTTGTCAGTGTCTCGGGCAATGAGCAGAACCAAGAAAGAGAAGAAAGAGAAGAAAGGAACGACTTTGGCAGTCCAAACCCAGTGACCAAATCTTTTTACTTAGGAGCTACCCACTGATGAATCCACTACACCCCGAACAATTGGACAACACAAGAACAGGTTTGCAACGAGATCTTCTACATGAAAACTGCTACTGTTTTGGCTTTCAAAACAGAATCTGATACCCAGCCGGAGTGCAGCACTCAAACCTCTATATGTTCATCAAAATTAATTTTCCCCATTTCATCCGTCAAACATCGGCCAATTCCTCACCAGTTCCAGGCGCGGAAATTCCACTGAGGCCCAAGGGAGCCCCAAGGACAAAGGATCCGCTCAGGCAAGCCGACCTGATGGGTTCCAGGCAGCTTGAGCTCTCCGAGCAACGTAGCACTTTCGCCACTTTCGCCTGTCACCACGGAAGAGGAATGTATGTATGTATGTTTGCTTGTTTGTTTGCTTGTTTGTTTTTTTGTTAATCTATCTATCTATGTAGTTGTTTTAAATGTGTTTCTGTGTGTGATTATATATGTTTAATTGTTTATATTTATATCAAACGACTTGGTTTATTATACACTACACACCTGCATTTACATTCATCTATGTAGACAAGCTCTTCGAGCAGCAGAAAATGGGCAACGTCCCAGGTGGTGCTTGTGATCTTCCCAGCGGCAATTCAAAAACTGAAGGTACCTTTTGATAAACAAATTTGGCTGGCTGGAACATTCCCCCATGGGTATAAGGTGGTGCTGCATAGTTAGCGAAGTTGGTTTATAACTCCAATGACTAGGGTTTTTGAATGTGTTTGATATATTATTAGTATTGCTACAATAATATTCATTACATCTGCAGTTAATGGGGGTGACAAACCAAGTTATAACTGGGAGGCACCACCTTGTATAAATGATTATTGTACCGAACAATATTTGGATGATCACCAGTTGTAGGCGACTGGTCGACTGCCAATGTTTAAAGCGTTTATATAATTGTCATCTATATTTACCACAGGATAATTTCAAACCTTTTTGATCCCCGCCTGCCAAAGAAGGACAACGATGACGCATTCATGCAGAAAGACCTATGTGGTTGGTATAACTGCAAATTACCTGGATAAGTCATCATGCTTCACCCAGCTGCAAGGATCATACTTATTATCACCCATAAGCACTGCCCCGATAAATTAATCCCCATAAATATCACTCATAATTCGCCCAAAAGTATTCACTTTCTCATCTCTGACAAATGACGTCGTGGTGATATCAACACAGTTTAGATCTACACAGCTGTTTTCTGTCGTTCATTGATCCATAGATCCCATTGAATACCCAATGGTCCATGGTTCTTTTTTCGAAGTCTCCTCTGGTTTATTTTCATTGATTCCCATTCCAAGGTTTACCCCCTCTGGGGAAAAAAACATAGCCATCCCAAGATATCCCAAGCAGCAGCCTCTTTGACCTCGTCATTTTATTAGTCAAAGTTCTTGTCACTTCAACGGTTTTAACGTTAAACTAACTATTAAGCAATTTAGCTAACAAACTGGGGCACCACGTTGTAGATCCACCATGACATGACAAGTTATCCCGACATATCCCGACACAATATCGTAACATGGTTGGTTGAATCCCAACGTTTCGCTTTGCCAACTATGGAGCAGCTTTTTGTATATATCACATTGTATCGGAATAGTTTCCCGTTATACAACAGTTTTTGATGGTTGAATCACCAGTTGTCAAATAAAGTCATCGTTTTTATGAGGAAACAAAAACATCAATTCTGATGGTTCAACATTGTTGAATCGTCACCTTTGAATCATCTTGGATGGTGTATCTCCTTTTCTGATTACTAACACGATTAGATTCCCTTTGTACCACGATCTTTGATGGCAAAACCTGTATGTTTGATGACCAAGTCAGCACGGTTGATGCTCCAATCACCATATTTTATGTTTCAATCATCTTCAATCTCTACGTTTGATGGCTAAGTTACCAAAAAAAAAACGCTGGGTCCCCTATTTGTTGATGGTTCAATCCCATGAAATCCAACTAAATCCCATGAAATCCCACTAAATCTTAAAAATGGCCCATTTATAGTTGATTTACCTATGAAACATGGTGATTTTCCATGGTTATATAAACGTTTACCAGAGGGTAAATGCCTATGATCTTCCCATCAGTTTTCACTACGGAATAACCCATGAACTTCGCCTACGAAAACCACAGCATCCGCCAGTGCCCACGTGAAGCGCAGCCGGACGGGAGCGCAGCCGGACGTGGGGACCGACTTGACAGTGAAGGGCTGGCCCACCTGGCAACGGGAAAAGGCGGGTGGTAAATGGCTGGTGAATTATATAGCACCAATTGGCACCAATTAATTTAATTTAATAAATTTGGTATATATGGTTTAATTAAATTTAAATAGTTAATTTCAGATCACCATATACCAAATTACCCCCTATCAAATTGAGTAAATTCACCATATAAGATATGGTTAATTCAGGTTAATTAAGTGATTAAGATTCATGGTATATGGTTTGGTAATATACTAAACCATCGGCCAATCTTACGACTGGAATTTAGTATACCACCTGGTTAGTTGGTGAATTCCCAGCACCATGGAATGGTATGATGGTTGGACCTAGCATGGTATAATGATTGGTAAATGGTTGATTGGAATAGTAATACCATGATTAGAATAATAATGATTGGAATTAGCATTGCCAATTGATAATGATAATGGTACCTGTTGTACCATATAATAATGATTAGAATTGCCAAATGGTTGATTAGAATAATAATGATTGGAATTTGCATCGCTTATTACCAGTTGTACAATACCATCAGGCGCTGAATCCCCAGCTAATGCCGTGGTAGATTTAGTGAATGTCATGGTATGATGTCTGTGAAAAGATGTGCAATGGTAAATGGTAGTTTGGAGCATGATATCTTTAACATAGCAATAATTCCCTCATTCGTAGTAGTAACACCTATTTACGTCCAACCTATCTTAAAATTTAAGTGCGCACATATTGTTAACATAGTAATAAGACCGGTATACCATTAGTGGTTGGGAAATGACGTAATACCACATCCCCACAAAGTATTCGACAATTGGCAAATGGCAATGCATCCATATGGGGAATTCCATGGGATATTCCACTTAGATGGGCCATGGGAAAAAACACGATTGCTGGCTTATAGTTGATCTGAAATCCGACCCTGCCTGGCTGATGAGTGCTGATGGTTTCCATGGGGGTTGTTTTTCATAGGTTCTTTTTTCCAATTTTCAAAAACTGAATCTGTGCAAGTTAGGAGAAGTTGGACATGCAAAAAGTAGGAACCGTTTACAATCATTTCATCTTTAAACATGTATCTAGATCTAAATATAATATTGCCACAGGCCCACACAAAAAAATATAAATATATATAATTATATATATATTGTGCTACAGGGGAACAACAAGCATGTCAAACCTCAATGACCAATGATTGGTTGTCTTCCCTGACTCATACACCGCCAATATATCATGAACTTGGTGACTCTTCAAACATGCTGAATCCTGGCTGGGGTCGCATCAACGCTAATAGTGCGGGAATGTCCCCTGAAACCTGCGACTTCCAAATTGGGTTTTGGAAAACATGGGTTCACATTGTATCCTACCTAAACATGTCATAAAATTTCCATGCATTGCAGGCGATATTCCTTTATATATTCGTTTTCCTGGTTAGTGCGATTTTCCATACAGCCCATTATCCAGTTTACCATTGTCCAGTTTACCATTCTTCTACGCCAACTATACTACTAAAAAATCATTATTCTTGGTGGTCTCCCAAGTTTTTATTGCCTGAATACAATGAAAATGTGATGTTACCATCAAACAACAATAAAACAACAGAGGTTCTGAGATCAAACAAAACCAACATTACATGATTTCACCATCAAACATGATGAATGTTCCCCATGTTCGCCCGGATTTCCCGGGGCCTCCCAGGTTTGTTCCCCCATCTCCAGCGTCATCTCCAGGTCGCCCGCGCCCAGCGCCACGGCCGTGCCGAGCGCCAGCGGCACGGCCAGGCCGCTAGTGGCGAAGGTCAACGAGGCGTCCAGCAGCTCTGAGGTGAGGCGACCGCGGGGTAAGGCCTTGGATTAAAGGGCGATGATCGGGGGCAGGCTTTGATAATACCTAGTTGATAAGTATCGATGATGATGATGATGATGATGATGATGATCATTATTATTATTTATTATTATTATTATCATCATTATTATTATTATTACTATTATATATAATAAAATGTTATATATATAACTGTGTGTATATGTGTATAATATTATATTATATATAATGATGGCTAACAAAATGATGGGTAATGATGATGAAAATATACTTTGGGTTAATCCTCAATCATGATTAATAATGGTCAATAATGGAAATCATTTATTGAATTTATGGATAGACAATAGTTGATCTTACCATTTCAGGCTAGTCAAAATCAAAAGTTATGGATCATGATTAATGGTTGTTATTTTACCTGCTAAAATAATCGCTAATAATGGATTACCCTCATCAACCATGGCAAATGCATGGTAGTTTGCATTGCTTTTGTACGGTGAAATTAGTAGTGATATTTGGGAAAACTAAAGAACGTCAATGCTTAGTAACAGTTCATAATTGTTTACAATGGTTAGTAGTGGTTAAATATGGCTAATTATAATTATGCCGATTCATGGTTAAACAAGTCATTGGTAGAAATACCCTCTGATGTCATCAAACATGGTTGGCTGGAAAATGTCCTACACCTGAATAATTTAATGGACACCATTTCAAAGATTACGATTGCATAATATACATGCAAAAATAAACATGGATATTTACACGAGTCTACTAAGTCATGAATATAAACATCATTTGGACATGTTTTTTTGGTGATTGTGATCCAACTATTTAACATGCAAAAATAAACATGGATATTTACACGAGTCTACTAAGTCATGAATATAAACATCATGTGGACATGTTTTTTGGTGATTGTGATCCAACTATTTAGTAAAAAATTGCATTGGTGGAATTGAACGGCAAATTATTGGAAATTTAAACTGGAGATAAGCTTAAGTCAGCGAGGAAGTGCATCGCTTCGTGGTTGATTTCATGGGGTATGATCCAGCTATAAATAGAGGTTTCCTAAATAGGGGTACCCCCATTTATGGAAACAAACATGAATAAATATGAAATGGAAACCTTTATTTATAGCTGGAAACCTCTATTTATAGCTGGAACCCCTATGTATAGCTGGAAACCCCCAAATGGAACAAACATGAATAAATCTGAAATTAGAAAGCCAGGGGCGCGAACCTACTCAATGGGCTGATCCGAGCGATGGACCGGGGTTGGTTACGGTTAGGCCGCTTGGGGGTGAATGCATTTGGTTGCATAAAGATTCATATAGATAGACAAATCGATGGATGTTCAAATCGATGTCGAGTATGAGCCATAATGCTCTTGAAACAATTCAATCATTGGGTAGTTTTGCCAGTTTCCAAGGAATCACGGGGCGGTTGGTGTCAAAACTTGGTGCATGGGTCCGGGATAGAAACCAAGAAATATGATGATCAATGCACATCAAACAGAATCAAACAAAGAAAAACGGCAGGAAATAAAATGACAAATCAAACTGTGAGATGGATGGAAACCATCACCCAACTCCAAGCAGTTGAAGTTTGGCCATGTGGTCACAATTAACATAAGACCAATGGGACCACCCACACATTTAAGACATGTGAAGCAGCAAACCATCCCCATGCGCTTCGCATCCTTCCGAACTGAGAACAATATCTGCAGAAGCCCACAAACAAAGCAATCTTGCTACTCCTTGCTTCACCTTGCTATAAACCGTGCATATAGTTGATAGATAATCACGAGTTGTTTTAGTTTTAGATGGTTATAAGTTATACAGAAATCACAATAAAATCTACTAAACCCAACTTGGCAAAACGAACTGAGGTAGCACGAACCGTCGGCCCAGGAACGATTTCGATGGACCTTGCTGGCAACGGCTCAGCGGCTTGTTTGATGAGAGCCAGAAGTTCCTCCCCTTGACCTTGATCTGCTCAAAGTCTTGGATATTGGGATATGTATTGTAGATATAGGTACAGTAATATCATTGGGATGATGATAGTTATATATTGGAATATATAGTTGTATAGCCACTATTGTAGATATGTTGGGATGATGATACTTAACATATCATGGGTATATCTTATAGGATATCTTGGATGATTTTGGCCAATGTGGTGATGATAGTTATTTATTATGGGGAATATATATAATGCTAGCTATTGAGGCTTTAATTCAACGCGTATAATAGTAGTAGCATTAAAAAATTCATTGAGCAAAAACAACATATGACGGAAAATAATGGAACATATTGGTCTAAAGTAAACATACAATATAAAATTAAATTGTGAGGTCTCAAACTGAAAACAGCTCATTCAACTGTAGCCATATGGGATTTAACTTAACTAATACATGGGGGGTGGTTGAGAAACAAAACATGCTGCGTAGTTGGAAATATGTTGATACAGTAACCAACATATCCAATATTCCGATAATTGGGTGTGTCTGAACACGCGTTGTATACCCGGATTGTATGGTAATGCTTAAAGGAAAAATATGCCCTTAAAACAATAGATTTCCAGGTACTCTATTTTCAAATATATTTCCAGGTACTATATGTTCAAACAATCCCAAATTTCCCTTGTAAAAGTGAAAACAAATGCAAGGGCCTGGTGGGTGTAAACACGCCATGTGGAAACTTAGCAACTTTGTATTTTCCCGATTGATGGCTCAAATTCACACAGGATTATATTTTCCTGATTCAAGGCGACGTTGATGTCCAATTTGTTTCTCCCAAAAAAGGATCTATCCATGCTGTCATCTATCTAACATTAAATGTGCAAAATTCAATGGCCATTTCAGGAACCTACTGTAAATCAGAGGTACCTACAGTAAAAAAGGCCAATGTAAGGGCTAAATTTGAAGGAATATACCGGCCTTAAATGGTACAGTAGCTCCGTTTTAGGGTCCTGAAATTCCCATTGACATTCTGTCTCATTAATATCCCACTAATATCCCATTATTATCCCTATAAAACATGTTAAAACCACAGTAAACTAGCATATCATCACTCAAAATCCCATAAAAAGCCTATTTCCTCATGGCTAAAATCCATTAAAATCACCAACAAAAACCCACCGAGACGTCGCGGCGTCAAGCGCCGTCCAGCGACGCCGGTCGTTCCAGGCAGGGGCCGCCTTGAGACCCAAATATTCGAAGGCGTCGCGCACCAAGTTGCTCCGCAACTCATCGCCTCAGAAAACGGAGAGTCCCAGGGACGAGACGCCGTTTAACGAGTGGCGTATGGTGTGATATATGATATGGTGTGAATATATATCTGTATATATATATATATATGTCTGTGTGTGTGGTATCATGGTAAATATATGTATAGAAATATTACACACACATATTATATATATATGATTGCATGTATGCGTTTAATTTCATGCATGTAGGTGTATACATGTGTATATGTATATATCACTGAGAAAAACACGTGTATGATATACCTATCGGCTGCATATGTAGTCCTCCATATATGGATACAATCTGTTGACATGACCCCACCAACATCCACAAACCAACCGGACCAGGCGCAAAACAAGACGTACATATCAATTAAACAAATGATCAAAAAAATGGATGCGTGCTGCATATCTTGCGCGCCTGAGTCCCCATGGCCAAGTCTTAGATACCCTGCAAACATAAAGTTGGTGCGTAAAAAACACAAGGGATCGCAAAATATCAAAATTCTGAAGTATCCAATGGGTGTTCCTCCTGTCTTGATGCTTCAATCCCAGTTTTGATGATTAAATCTCGATGCTTTACTGCTCCAATCCTAACCAATTGGGTTGTTATAGCAAAAAATATATACCATCCGGCAATCAAACATGGCTTGCTGAGGAATCCCTCATTTAGTTCGACAACTTTTTCCGCCTATAAACCTCCACTTATAAGGGGATCGTCCCATTAAATCTTCCATTTATGGGGATTTTCCCTGTAAACCAGCCATTTGATGACAGGTTCTGCGGGTAAATCCCCCAATTTCTACCCAGTCACTGGGCATTGCTTCCAAGGACTCCAGAACGGCCGGCACGGCCCGGGTGGAGGAACAGAGCGATGGGATGGGAAGACCCAGCTGCGAGCAGCCGCAGAGCAGCGCACGTTCCAAGAAGAAGCGCTGGAACGGGGCCCAGGAAGAGTTGGGCCTCGTGGGCTGACCCGGTAGATTAACATATATTACCACCCGGTAAATTAACATAGCTATGGAAAATCTCGTTTTTTTCCATAGGTAAATCAGCTACAAATGGCAATTTCCAATAGCTACGTTAAATTACCAGAGGGCATTAATATTAAAAAACATGAGGATATTCCATCAATATTCCATTAACGTTCCATTATGAGGATATTCCATTATATATTGAACCAATGGTGGTATAATGATGGCATATCCTCATAATGAGTCTCAATATGTCAATAATGGTGGGATATCATTGAATATTACATAATACTTACTGGTGCTGAACGCAGGGAATTTTCGGGAATGATCCCAGTCATCACTATCAATAATAATCCCAGCAACCCATCCATTCCCATCCATTCCCTACGTTTAGCACCAGTAAGAATATATCATATTAATGGAATACCCTCCGGTAAACTAACATAACCATGGAAAATCACCATTCTTCATGGGTAGATCCACTATTTCTATGGCCATTTTCAATAGCTATGTAACAAATTACCAGAGGGTAATGGTTTGGATTTTTTGGTGGTGCAACGTGCGGAAATGGTGACCATTGATGCTGATAAATACTCACCATTAATGAGTCGAGTCGGGCCGAAAATGGTGACTGGGGTGTCTTTGCCAACAATCCATAATTGTTGGGATATCTTGGGTTTAACCATCCAAAATAGAGATTTAAAAATCAACAATTGCTGTATAATGGTGATATGATGCGATATAATATAATGTTATATAATGGACTGTAAATTGAATATCGGAATATCCTCATAATTGGTAGTGGTTAAACATAACCGTGGCTTAGGCCACAGCAATGATAATCTGATAACTTCAGCACAAAACATGTTGGTTTAATGGGGATTACTTGCGATTGATTCTGATACACTGATAAACTATCCAGTGGTTATGATTAACCAACTGTTGTGAGGTGATACAATGGGATATGATGGGGATAAAACCAACAGTATGTCCACTGGTCATAATAAGACAGCTATGAAAAATGCCTATTTTTGTAAAATGAATCATCTACAAACGGGCCAATTTCCATAACTATGTTAAATTGCCAGAGGGTATAAGCCATCTGGAAATCAAAAATTGCTGGCTGGGAACCCCCCGCAAATGGATATTTGAATGGGAAAATAATCGAACTAAATGGTTGGCTTTCCAGCAAGGCATGTTTTATTCTCGGAGGGTTGCTATATTCTATCAATGGGGATTTGGATGGATTTAGCTATTTATCTAGTTCAATTCATATTATTGTGGGTTCTAGTAGGAGGGTTAATGGTGTTTGGAAAGGTGTTCGAATGAGATGTTATGGGCATATATATATATATATATATATAATTTGAACAATATCAACATATCTGCTTCAAATTAGAACTTGAAGGTTCATCAATATCACATAACATGAAATATTCTGGGATATTAGAGGGATCTAACCGATGATGATCCCCAGTGATCGTTTATAATACGGAATACGGGTCTTACAATCATCATCTGTACAATCTTAGCAACAAAACTACGGTGATATAACAAAAGTGAACGGGTATACATACATATATATATAAATATATATATATATACATATATATATATATATATCATGTATATATATATATATACATGGGTATATTGAAAGCAGCTGAGGATATGTTCTTTGCAAAACGCAACTTGACAATAAAAACACCTGGAAATACGATGCGCAAACTGTCTGAACCACACAAAACATGAACCAACTGCTTTGGATCTGGACAGTCCACGGAAATCCTCTATTTAAGACTCTATTTTGGCCCCAAGATTTCATACAAATACCATACAAGAACAAGACACTTCAAATAACAAACAAACTCCATGCCAAAAAAGTAGGAGCCGGCACTTTCCAATGAAGGCATTTCCCATCAACAAACTAGCACCAAAGAAAGATGAACATAATGGATTGTTTTGAGCGACATGATCGCACAATATATGTGATATCACCAGAAGCAAATATCTTTGGGCACATGGCTATGTTTCAGGTCATTTCGTATGTTTGATTTGGGTTGACTTGTAATGCACCATTGACTTACTGGTGCTTAGCAGGGAATAATCATGAATAATCCATAATCACTAGTAATAATCATCTCATTCCCCCATTCCCATCCATTCCCTGCTAAGCACCAGTACAGTAAGTTTTGGGACAACAATAATTCCCACCAACCATCATCGACAGTGATGTTCTTGTGAGGTCATTATGATTCAACAAATGAGTTCATGCGCATTTTGCGAAAAGAAAACGACAATAAAACATGATAACTGATATAACTATAATATAGAAATCAGTAAATATATAGTGACGGACAATCACTTAGAACGTATTTTGGAAAAACAATTCTGAATATTACTGCTTTTTTTACGTTCTAAGCCTTGCACTTAGAACGTCGAAAACCATACACTTAGAACGTCCAAATATCAAGATTCATCACTTAGAACGTACCGGGGATTTAACACTTAGAACGTGTCTAGGTCACTGATGATAGTGGGAAGGCTTGTGAAATCTTTTATCTCTAAGTGTTGGATCCAGCAGCTAATTCCGTAGGAAGCATAGACATAATTTCGTACCATTTGGCTTTTCCCTCCCATATGATGTGCAAATATTGGCGATCTTTTATCTCTGGAACACTATACCTTTTGGTGCTTTTTGGGGGTTCTGAGTTCTGATGTTCTAAGTGTTGGATTCAGCAGCTAATGCCGTAGGAAACATAGACATAATTTCGTACCATTTGGCTTTTCCCTCCTATATGATTTGCAAACATTGGCGATCTTTTATCTCTGGAACACTATACCTTTTGGATCCTTTTGTTGCTTTTTGGGGGTTCTGTCGTTCTAAGTGTTGGATTCAGGAACTAATTCCGTAGGAAACATAGACATAATTTCGTACCATTTGGCTTTTCCCTCCCATATGATTTGCAAATATTGGCGATCTTTTATCTCTGGAACACTATACCTTTTGGATCCTTTTGGTGCTTTTTGGGGGTTCTGACGTTCTAAGTGTTGGATTCAGCAGCTAATTCCGTAGGAAACATAGACATAATTTCGTACCATTTGGCTTTTCCCTCCCATATGATTTGCAAATATTGGCGATCTTTTATCTCTGGAACACTATACCTTTTGGATCCTTTTGGTGCTTTTTGGGGGTTCTGACGTTCTAAGTGTTGGATTCAGCAGCTAATTCCGTAGGAAACATAGACATAATTTCGTACCATTTGGCTTTTCCCTCCCATATGATTTGCAAATATTGAATTGGCGATCTTTTATCTCTGGAACACTATACCTTTTGGATCCTTTTGGTGCTTTTTGGGGGTTCTGACGTTCTAAGTGTTGGATTCAGCAGCTAATTCCGTAGGAAACATAGACATAATTTCGTACCATTTGGCTTTTCCCTCCTATATGATTTGCAAACATTGGCGATCTTTTATCTCTGAAACACTATACCTTTTGGTGCTTTTGGGGGTTCTGACGTTCTAAGTGTTGGATTCAGCAGCTAATTCCGTAGGAAACATAGACATAATTTCGTACCATTTGGCTTTTCCCTCCCATATGATTTGCCAATCTTGGCGGTCTTTAGCTCTTGGAACACTCTACCTTTTGGTGCTTCTTGGGGTTCTGACGTTCTAAGTGGTGGATTCAGCAGCTAATTCCGTAGGAAACATAGACATAATTTCGTACCATTTAGCTTTTCCCTCCTATATGATTTGACATTGGCGATCTTTTATCTCTGGAATACTATACCTTTTGGATCCTTTTGGTGCTTTTTGAGGGTTCTGACGTTCTAAGTGTTGGATTCAGCAGCTAATTCCGTAGGAAACATAGACATAATTTCGTACCATTTGGCTTTTCCCTCCCATATGATTTGCAAATATTGAATTGGCGATCTTTTATCTCTGGAACACTATACCTTTTGGATCCTTTTGGTGCTTTTTGGGGGTTCTGACGTTCTAAGTGTTGGATTCAGCAGCTAATTCCGTAGGAAACATAGACATAATTTCGTACCATTTGGTTTTTCTGTCCCATATGTTTTGCAAATATTGGCGTTCTTTATCTCTTGAACACTATACCTTTTGGTGCTTTTTGGGGGTTCTGACGTTGTAAGTGTTGGATTCAGCAGCTAATTCCGTAGGAAACATAGACATAATTTCGTACCATTTGGCTTTTCCCTCCCATATGATTTGCAAATATTGGCGATCTTTTATCTCTGGAACACTCTACCTTTTGGATCCTTTTGGTGCTTTTTGGGGGTTCTGACGTTCTAAGTGTTGGATTCAGCAGCTAATTCCGTAGGAAACATAGACATAATTTCGTACCATTTGGCTTTTCCCTCCCATATGATTTGCAAATATTGAATTGGCGATCTTTTACCTCTTGAACACTATACCTTTTGGTGCTTTTTGGGGGTTCTGACGTTCTAAGTGTTGGATTCAGCAGCTAATTCCGTAGGAAACATAGACATAATTTCGTACCATTTGGCTTTTCCCTCCTATATGATTTGCAAACATTGGCGATCTTTTATCTCTGAAACACTATACCTTTTGGTGCTTTTGGGGGTTCTGACGTTCTAAGTGTTGGATTCAGCAGCTAATTCCGTAGGAAACATAGACATAATTTCGTACCATTTGGCTTTTCCCTCCCATATGATTTGCAAATATTGGCGATCTTTTATCTCTGGAACACTATACCTTTTGGTGCTTTTTGGGGGGTCTGACATTCTAAGCCGTAAGAAACATAGACATAATTTCGTACCATTTGGCTTTTCCCTCCCATATGATGTGCAAATATTGGCGATCTTTTATCTCTGGAACACTATACCTTTTGGTGCTTTTTGGGGGTTCTGACGTTCTAAGTGTTGGATTCAGCAGCTAATTCCGTAGGAAACATAGACATAATTTCGTACTATTTGGCTTTTCCCTCCCATATGATTTGCAAATCTTGGCGATCTTTTATCTCTGGAACACTATACCTTTTGGTGCTTTTTGGGGGTTCTGACATTCTAAGCCGTAAGAAACATAGACATAATTTCGTACCATTTGGCTTTTCCCTCCCATATGATTTGCAAATATTGGCGATCTTTTATCTCTGGAACATTATACCTTTTGGTGCTTTTTGGGGGTTCTGACGTTCTAAGTGTTGGATTCAGCAGCTAATTCCGTAGGAAACATAGACATAATTTCGTACCATTTGGCTTTTCCCTCCCATATGATTTGCAAATCTTGGCGGTCTTTACCTCTGGAACACTATACCTTTTGGTGCTTTTTGGTGGTTCTGACGTTCTAAGTGTTGGATTCAGCAGCTAATTCCGTAGGAAACACAGACATAATTTCGTACCATTTGGCTTTTCCCTCCTATATGATTTGCAAACATTGGCGATCTTTTATCTCTGGAACACTCTACCTTTTGGATCCTTTTGGTGCTTTTTGGGGGTTCTGTCGTTCTAAGTGTTGGATTCAGCAGCTAATTCCGTAGGAAACATAGACATAATTTCGTACCATTTGGCTTTTCCCTCCCATATGATTTGACATTGGCGATCTTTTATCTCTGGAACACTCTACCTTTTGGATCCTTTTGGTGCTTTTTGGGGGTTCTGACGTTCTAAGTGTTGGATTCAGCAGCTAATTCCGAGGAAACATAGACATAATTTCGTACCATTTGGTTTTTCCCTCCCATATGATTTGCAAATATTGGTGATCTTTTATCTCTGGAACACTATACCTTTTGGTGCTTTTTAGGGGTTCTGACGTTCTAAGTGTTGGATTCAGCAGCTAATTCCGTATAGGAAACCTAGACATAATTTCGATTCCACTTCGAATTCCAATTTTCTGCAATATTTTAATTGCGTTATAAAAGGAAATTCAATTGATTTCGAAAGCGAAAAAACTAGTCTTTTTATTAAGGGTTTAAATTTATTATTAGGATCCGCTTCGAAATCCAATTTTTGGCAATATTTTAATTGTGTTATAAGGAAATTTACCTGATTTTGAAATCGAAAAAAACGGTTTTTCTTATTAAGGGTTTAAATTTATTATTTAGGTCCGCATCGAAATCCAATTTGTGGCAATATTTCAATTGCGCTATATAAGGAAATTTAATTGGTTTTGAATCGAAAAAAATAGTTTTGTTTTATTAAGGGTTTAAATTTATTAGGGTCCGCTTCGAACTCTAGTGTTTGGCAATAGTCTTATTGCGTTATAAAAGGAAATTTAATTGATTTTGAATCGAAAAAACTAGTCTTTTTATTAAGGGTTTAAATTTATTATTAGGATTCGCTTCGAAATCCAATTTTTGGCAATATTTTAATTGCGTTATATAAGGAAATTTAATTGATTTTGAAGTCGAAAAAATAGCCGCTTTATTAAGGGTCTAAATTTATTATTAGGGTCCGCTTCGAAATCCAATTTTTGGCAATATGTTTAATTGCGCTATATAAGGAAATTTAATTGATTTTGAAATCGAAAAAATAGTTTATATAGCGACGGACAATCACTTAGCACGTTCTAAGTGTTGGTTTACGTTCTAAGTGATAAATGGGCCTAAGTGATATTTTGACGTTCTAAGTGATGAATTTTCCCTACGTTCTAAGTGATGAAATTTTGCTACGTTCTAAGTACGAAAAACAATTTTTGGAAAAAAATTACGTTCTAAGTGATTGTCCGTCACTATAGTTAGATCAGTTATATCAGTTCATGAATTAAATAAACTACACATAGAATACAAACCGCCAACCACCGATCGCCAACAAATAAAAATAAACACGTACTCAGGACACCATCAGCAACCATTGAACTCCCATAAATCTGAATAAACAAACAATAAAATTCCTATAGCATAGGGGAAACAACTAACATGATTGGGCCCTGAAAATCACGAACTTAGGTACCCCCTATTTGGATGGGTCATGAAGGGTCAATGTTCATTTGGTGGATTCAAATCGAAAAAAAACACTAGAAAATGAGCCAAGCTACTGTTTCCTCAGACGCTCAAACAAGTCCCGCGCAGCTTCCTGGTGACTACTGCTCTGATCGCAGAGATAGGCTTCGGCCACACGGATTTGCGAGGTGATGATCCAGGAACTGAGATTGCCTATGGTCGAAGCTGTCAGGGGGGTGACCATGTTGACATATATAGGGATTTAAGCATGGTAGTTATATATATATATGCATATTTAAATATATGCATATTTAAATATATGTATATATATATATATGCATATATATATATATATGTATGTATATAATTATGTATATATGTATGTTGTGGTGATGTTCGCCAACAAAATAAATGATTTATCAACAATCAAAGGTGATCTGTGACCTAACCCAATGAAGTGGTGAGTTTGACATTTGTTTGAAACTGTTCCAATAAACTTCATGATTTTCAGACAAAAACCACTGGGTATTTGAACATGACCCCATTGAAATGGTCAGATTCTGAGTGGGGCCCAGTTTTGGCTTGTTTCATCTTGTTTCAGTATCCTACCCAAATCCTTGTTTGGGCTTGCGGCCTGGAATCCCTTAGGTATGGGATGAGAAAACAACCACTTCTTATTTAAAGCGGTACAGATTGAACATAATTGGGAAACAACAACTTCTTCAACTCAAAAGTGCGTTGCTCAACTCTTTTTAAGAGATTGAGCAACAAAATGATATACAATTTAAATAAAAAAACGTTTGATCGCAAGTAAATCAAGTATGGATTTGTTCAACTTGCTGGATGCCTTGGGGAGTTGCTAGAGGTATATTATATATATACACACACGGTAAACTTGTGAGTCCATCCGATTTCAGAAAAGAAAAACTGAGTTCAAATCTATACAAGTTTTTCTTGTTCAGATCTAAGTCTCTAGTTCCTATATTCATTTTTTAAAATATATTTCTAATATCCCCAAAGGTATGATATTTTCAACATTGTTCAACACATGCATGGATCCAACAAATCCAAGTGACGTTCTTTGGCAGCAGCTTGCGCTCGAATCAAGAGCTTCAAACTGCGCTCCGCATGTTCTTTGTGTTTTTGGGCCTGTGTGACTGAACGGAAGTGAGGGCTAAGGGGTATAACATGGTATAACCGTAAATGGCAATGAGGAGAAGCATAGGGATCTAAGTGACATACCAGCAAACATAGACATATGATGTATCAACTAACACCACTGAATTCGGAAATGAGAATGGGCATGACGTCACTCGCTATTGGGATTTGACCACAAAAACTGGCAATAGAATGGAATATGATGGGAGCAAAAAATCAACATGGACATACGATAATGGCAATAAACTGGGAATTTTTGGATACACCACAAAAAATATGATATGGGTTTGTTCAGTCAAGGGCAGGACCCAAAATCGCCAAATTTCAATGGGGAAAACAAAGACCAACCGTTGGGTGTAGTTTTCCTCATGTTTTCATGTTTGGAGAAAGGATTGAAAAAAAACAGGCAACAAAAGGCAATGGAATAAAACATTGCGCTATTAGCTGTAGCAACACCTCATAGTTCAGGGTGAGTAACTAGGTTTGAATGTGAAATGCAGGAGTTATGGGGTAATTGTCACTAACCGTCACTAAGCTTTTGCCAACTTCCACAGTCGTGCGATGGAAATGACAAACCAAACATGTGAGGACTGTGAGCGTGCCCAATATTTTTTCCCATCTCTCTCGTGTTTCTGTTCGCAGTTGTTAATGGATGCATCCTATTTCACAATGGATTAGCATTGTTTGTGTTGGCTAAATACTCTCTATTTGCTGGTGAAATCACATTCACTGCCGATGGTTGCCTGCTAGTGAAATACAATGCTACAATGCGCATGTTCCTATCTTCTATGCCCTGATCTTGTGTTTCCTGGCTAGCTTAACAGATGTATCTCGATTCTACCATTACTGAACTATCAATCCGGTCAGTTCAGCCAGATTAGGTCTCCACGTATTTTCCTTTCCTCATATAATTACTCAACAAAGATGGTTGGTGAAATATGTCGCATCAAATACTTACATTAAAAAAAACATGCAATGTGTTTTTTTGTACACACACCTTTCCCCCTACCATATTAGGTCGTTTCAATCATGTTTGCTGTTTAAAATCACATTTTTTTGTTGGTGAAATTGCTAGTTAAATCCGGAAGTTTCTTGGTGAAATCCATATGTTTAATGTTTGATTGGTTTTTCTTGGCCAATCCACATTTTCACGGTGAAATCAGCATGTTGGCCGCTTTTTACATCACCATGTTGGCTGGTGAAATGACCCTTTTCCTCAATTCTTCTTGGTCTACTCACCATTTTTATCAGCTAACTCACCATTTTCCCACCTTCCCACCATTTTCCCACCTTTTTCCCACGTTTTTCCCACCTTTCCCAGGCCCGGCTCCCGTTTTTCGGTGTCTCCGGTGTCTCCGGTGGCCTGTTCCCAGGCCAAGCGCAGGGCCACCACCTCCTTGGGCGAGGTCACCTCCGTGGGACGCTCCAGGTGCCCTGCCTGCAGGTCTGGCCCAAGGGAATCCCTAGTGATAATTATTACAATGGCTATGGTTAATATATCACTAAGACCATGTAATAATTATGGTTACTATGGTTAATTAATTATAATAATAATTATCACTATAACCATTAATGGTGACTTATCCTTAGACCTGTGGTTGTGGTTAATGTTATACGATAATTACCATAACCATAGGATAAGTGATTATTATTATGATTATTTAGTAATAATATAACAATAATAATATAGTAAGTGGTATTAACAATCCAGTTTTTATTAGTATTACTAATATTATTGTTTTTATGATTGTTACTATCATTATTATCATTATTATCATGATTATTACAATATTATTACTATTTAACAATGATAATATAACCACTATTATTACTTATTATTATTTACCACTATGATAGGATAATAGCTATACCACTTATAATATCTTCAGTTATAATATGATAGGCGATAAGTATTGTAATATTACAGTGATATAGCTATTATAATGGTATGGTTACCCATATGAATTGTGATTATGAGTGATATATTATCCATATAGTACTAACAGTAATAGTAATAGTAATGGGATTCCTATACTAAGTATTATAATATTACTGTATTAGTAATAGTATATTCTGAGTGATACATGCTAATATTATAAGTAGTGATAATATTGTAAGTAGTGATAATATTCTAAGTAGTGATAGTAAACTAGTCAAATAGTAACAATAATAGTCAAATATGTCAATGGACATATTAATAGTAATAATCGTATTAACAATAGCAATAATAGTAATGGGATTCCTATACTAATAGTAATACAGTAATAGTATAATAGGCTAATAGTAATATAGTAATAGGATATACTACATGATATTAATAGTAAGTATTGCATTGCTGGTATAATAAAGGAATCCTCATATTCACTAAAGTTTTCATATAATGGTGCTACCCATATCATTACTATTAATATCTGATAATTTCAAATATACTATATCATGATATCACTAAACAAATTTATTGGATATCACTATATAGTATTTATCATCGTAGTATGGTTGCCTTATCATATAGGACTATGGCGTATCCATACTACATATACATTAGTGCTAATGATAGGGTTATTATGTTACTATGGTTGTTATATTACTATGGTATATGGACAGTAAAGAATAGTGATGGTCATATATTAGTACCAACTACTAATGATAAGGTATTTGACACTTTTCATGGACAAAGTGGTCAAACTTTGTGTTGTTGCAGCCACTTTCCATAATCTTGGATAAGCATGATGCAAAGAAGAGAACGATGGGTTGAAGCAGTGGTGAATTTTCACTAGTTAAAAATGGTACATAAACTTTGGGCATTTGATTTTAGGGTGTGTCTTGAGTAGTGTGTCTTAACCAGTGGCAGCCAAGTAAATCAAGTTTCCGCATGGTTGCCCTCCAGTGATCCAACATGGCTAGGTGGGGTTTCCCCCCAAACTATTCATGGCTATCTTTGCATGGGAAAATCATCCAACACGGATGTTTTTTCCAGCTACCAACGTTTGATGACCACAGGATAAATACATTATAAAATATCCATCATTATCCCACGATGATCCCTATTAAAACATAGCAACTCATATTGAACTACTAATTTGAATTGCCATAATAGTACCAGTTTTACCATTTTCACACTGGTTTATGATCATTGGCCATGAACCCATACCGGCCATACCGCTCCCAGATTAAATCCAACTATATAAATCCCTAATTGTTGATGCTCAACCCCCCATCAAATCCTTGATGGGATTGATCCCATTAAATCTCCCTTGTTGATGCATAAATCCAAATAATGGGATTGATCCCTTAACCATCAAGAAATAAAGTTTTTAAGGGATCAATCCCATCCAAATCATCAATAAAACCATCAAAGGGATCCAAAACCCCCTTTGTTGATGCGTTCAAAAAATCCTCAACTCTTGGGGCTTCCGAACCCCGGATCCGCAGCATTTCCCTCCTGGCCCAGGAAGGCCGAGGGCAGCACCGCACCGCCTGCCGTTGGCGCTGGGGGCAGATGGCCCGGTTCCATGCAACGCACGGCCCATTCACCTGGGCTGTGCGCGGGGCAGTGGCCGACATGGAGGATTTCACCAAGAAAGATGCTGCCTTAACCATAAAAAATGGTGGTTTTGTGGGATTTCAAGCTTCAAACATGATGATTCCAAGTGATTTTGGTGATTTAACCAACAAAATGGAGCTGGTTTAAGTATCCAAAATGGTGACTTGACCAGCAAACTTAGGGACAGAATTGGATATGTTATGCACCCAAACAAATGGGAGATATCCTTGGATGCGAAATATCCCAGCAACAATTCGGAATTGAGCAACAAAGGTGTGGATCTAAGCAAGGACAATGGTAACTTAACCAACAAAGATAGGCGCATGAAATTTTGGTATTGAACCAGTAAAATGGTGGTTAGACACTAATCGAACTCAGGTATATGATGCTACAAACATATACATGCTAATCGAACGTACACATTATATAATGTATAAATCTATATATATATATATACATACTGTGAAATATATATATATATACATATATATATATATATGAAGTAATGTAACAAGTGGAATTGCGACATCAGCCCATGAGTTCGTAAAACTGCTGATACATGATGTCCAGTTCTAGATATCATTTTGGGGATTAAACGTAGCAAGTTGTGTTCTCTCATTGGATTTGCTCCACGGCATGAGTCAAGTCATTGGGGAATGGGGCCACCCGAATGACAGACCCAAAATCCCAACACAGTTGATCTGGACAATGGTAGTCAGCTGGGACCATCATCACAGGTAGGAAAATTGCTAATCTCAGATCGCTTGCTAAAGAATATGTTCCCATTTAGTACAGTACCATAGTCCAACTCAAGGCTATCCAGGTCTATCCAGTTAACGAGCTGACTCTGTTGTGCCAAGCTGCGTAAACGGCGTGCATAAACTGCCGCTGCTTGGAAGTGGAAGCCGGGGAACTGCCAAATGTCACTGATATCGATTAGCCTCGGTTGTTCTTTTTCCGGGGTTTCAGTCATTGATTTTATGAGAAGTCCGCCCTGAAAACCTTGGGACGCAATGACCATGCCGGGTGCGCGGCACTGCTTTGGTGACTGTGATGGCGAACATGTTTAGATTTGCGAACCCAACTGCCCCATCACGGTTTTCCCGGATCCCATCTGCGCCCTAGTCCTGGGAAAGTTCCGCGTACAGCATGTGGAGGGAATCAACCTATACAAGGTCTATCATTTGAACCCATTGTAAGGAAACATGCCCTCAACATATGGCCAGGAATATGGCAGAGTCCTCCACTTATATAAATGGATGCCCGGCCCATTGGGGCATATGGCTATGAGTTGTGAGTCAAAAGTGCCCCGGCGAACATGGAACGGATGTTCATTGACACATCCCCATATCTAAATCTAAACCATATCAGGGTCAACCTGAAATAGTCCGCGAAAAATATCAAACCACTATCTTTTGCTGGTTGGTCAGTGGTTTTCCATAGTAAAAAAACTAAAGGATCAAGTTCTACCCATCCAGTTGGGGATGACAGCCACATGACCCCTGCGACACTTCAGCCGCAGGGCAAGGGTACTCTTTGCATGATCGTGTCCAACAAATCACCTCAGCTACCGCCGGAGATGTTTCAGGGATCCCAAAGTTCCATGGATGGTCTCTTGATGTTAAAATTAATTTGCTTAAATAAAGATGACACAAAAGATAAATTAAGCCAACTTTGCAATCAGAGAGCAGTAATAGTTCCAGCGTTCCAGGCTTCCAGGGTTTAATATGATGTTTACTCGTAGTTTTGAATGCCTTACATCATGTTCCAATCCCAGACCCATTGAAACCCAACACTGGACCCCAAAGGGCCCAAAAAGGTAGAACACATACTCGTGTAGATGTCCCATATCGATGATTCACCAATGGGAGAACACCTTCTTAAAGAAAACACCTCTACCCTGTTCAACACATCTATGGCACTTTGAGGCAGCCCAGAATGGAAGAGTCCCATTTCAACGTGCCAATTTGATGCCCTCATGATGCCACGGTGCGAATTGATGTTCTTATTGGTGATTCTTGGATGGGCCGTGGAGTTAGTTGACAGTTGACTGGGTACAGCAGTTGCTGTTTTCAATCGTCGTACTCAGGCAACGTGGTGCCCCCTGATTATGTTTGTTGGTTCATGTTGGTTCATTCACCCATCGAGCTATAGTCATTTCATCGCCATAAACGCGGCAATCAAGCTAGTTATGCTTACAAATTTGGCCATTCAGAAAAACTGGGGCACCACTTCGATGGGCCCCATCTAGTATGTCAGTTTTCACCACTGAGTAAATCGCTGATCAGTTAGATTTCTGGTAGTTTCAAGTGAATTTTACGTTACAAACCAGTCCGTGCCGACGAGAGACCGAAGATCTGATGGTTCCTGGGACCCGCCAAGTCTATCAACGAGTAAAACCATCAATGGATACCCTCTAGTAAACTAACAGTTTGCTATGGAAAATCACCATTTTCAATGGGAAAACTCACTATAAGTCTATTGAAAACGGCCATTTATAGCTGATTTTCCCATTAAAGATGGTGATTTTCCAGTTCGCAAACTGTTAGTTTACCAGAGGGCACTGACTGGGACATGCGAGTATGCATTTGCAAAAAGAGCTGTATGTAACGTGTGCATGATATGTTGACATAAAACAATACCCTACTCGACTGATAATGGTAAAAGCTCAACCTGGAATGAATTGCGATATACATTGTTTATCGTTTGCAAGATATTGACTGAATGAAACGAAAACAAATATGTTTTCTTAACAATCAAACGTATGGATGCAGCCACCAAATGCCATCAAACACTTGGAGTGGGCAACTTAAGTATGATATGCTTCGCTCCGCTGAAAACGAAGATGGAACCTGTGTTCACGGCCAGGATTCTGATGATTGCTCCCCACAAAGGAAAAAAACATCCCCCTGTTCATATTTCTCTCTCCACTCTCCACCGCGATCTCATATTGGGGATCCTCCCATTTTTTTGGTTGCAAATATGTGTAAATTCCGTACCAAACCGTGGTTTCTGGGAGGTGTTTAATATGAACGGGGAAAGGGATTAGCGTGACCATCCAACTGATCTTGGGGTGATTCCAATTGATGCCATTGATGCCATTAGTGCTGGCCGCAGTAGTATTCTATGCCACTCCTTGCTTTTTATATATATATATAGGAGATTACTAAACACTATACTGAGTGTCAAGAAAACAAGGCATGCCTCAAATGGATCATACCCGAGACTCCTTCGTGGCCTATAAGTGACTGGAGGTACGTCCATTCAGACAGCCGCAGCTACATCCAACCCATCAACCCGTCAACCTACAAGGTGGTGCCCCATTGTTAGCTAAGTTAGTTCAAAATTTGATCCAGGGTTTACGTATGTCTATATAGATCTCTGTAGTGATTACAACTGTAGTTAGATGCCTTAAACCAACAAACACAGGCTTTCGAATGGGTTTAGGGGCACCACACCAGCCCGCTTGCCGCGGTTCAAGGAGAGCCAATGCCATTTGCGCCAGACGTATTCCGAGTTCTCGGAGCAGTACTTCTTCAGGGAGTTCACGTGAATCCGGCAGTGATGCACGGCGGCACCCACGTCATGGTAGGAGAAGTAGCGCTGGTACATCCTCCAGGCGATGGAGGATTTGTTCAGCCATGATGGGCGAACACACGCTGTAACCTTCACAGTGTGTATATGTCAAAGGTAAATGTACAATGTGAAACCGTATATCTATATCTTTATATATATAATATATATGTGTGTGTGTGCAGTGTGTGAACATGCGTGTATTCTCTATATATATATATCTATATATATATCTATCTATATCTATATATATATATATCTAGTGTATGTATATGGTCATGTATATAGTCAACCTGTTGCGATGCTGACAGTTTTGGGGCAAAGCACAGGCATTCCAGCCAACTGGACGAATCACATGAAACTGCCATCTTTACAGCTGAAGCGTGGGGAAGTACAGTAAACTTCACGTACCAATAAGTTGGGATCTTGATTGCTCAAGATAATGGGCAAATCATTAGAATTGGGACTAGTTTTGTTTATTGGGAATAATTTATAACCAATCATTTTTGGGAATATGTTGTAGACATTACTCGGAGTTACCCTGTGGTAAACTAACATAGCTATTGAAAATGACCTATTTAGAGTTGATTTACCTATTAAAAATGGTGATTTTCCAGTTCGCAAACTGTAAACGTTTACCAGGCCGGGTATTGTTCTTAGACCTCCGCCCCTCCGCCCCCTCACTCCTCAGCGCAATGTGGTTGCAAAGGTCCATCCGCTCGAGAAAGTCCATGAGCTCGGACTCCTCTTAAGAGCTATCCCGTGTGAGCCGTGGAAAATCATTGGTTAATGGAAATGTAAATCACTTAGATGGGTTAATTAAACCATTGAAAAATCATTCATAAGTGGGAAATCACTATCTATAATGGGTAAATCAATGCAAATCATCATCAGCCATCTATAAATCCGTCATTGTCCACAACTATGTTAAATACCCTTGTTGATTGGTTTTCAGGTAAGGAGTTATGTTACCTGACTTGGGGATTAATTAATGATTATGAACTAACCCATACAACCAGTAATTACAATGAGAGCCTCAGAAAGTCCAACAGACCCCAAGAAAGACCATACCCCTTGACACGACTAAAGATCGTCATGCTATTGGGTGTTGGAGGACTTGGTGTATGCTCCAGTGGCGAGTGACCGCGGGTCACTCGAAACCCAAATCGCTGCCCAAAACCGGGAAACTGGGGAAACCCTAAACCCCAAATCCATGTGTATACCAATTGTTATAGCGCGGGGTGAAAAAACATGGACTCTTGGGACCATGAAGGCATCCTACCGGCTGAGTCCTCCAAGATTCACCGGCAAGTCTTGATGTTTACCCTCTGGTAATTTAACATACAGTAACTATGGAAAATCACCATTTTCTCATAGTGAATCTTCCTGGTAATTTAACATAACTATGGAAAATCACCATTTTTCATAGTGAATTTTCCTGGTAATTTAACATAACTATGGAAAAGCACCATTTTTCATAGTGAATTTTCCTGGTAATTTAACATAACTATGGAAAATCACCATTTTCTCATAGTGAATCTTCCTGGTAATTTAACATAACTATGGAAAATCACCATTTTTCATAGTGAATTTTCCTGGTAATTTAACATAACTATGGAAAATCACAATTTTTCATAGTTAATTTTCCTGGTAATGTAACATAACTATGGAAAATCACCATTTATAGTGATTTTTTCCCATGAAAAATGGTGATGTTCAATAGTATGTTAAATTAACAGAGGGTAAACATCACCATGTGTGCTGGTTCAGATTCAACATACGCATTAAAAACTTCGTCTGGATATGTTGCTTCCATAATTCAATGAAATCCACCTTTCTGAGTATTCAAATCCAAATGTCGTGCATGTTAAATCCACATGCCTGGTGGCATTATGTTTAAGCATATTTGTTGATATGGATTCTAAAAGTATTGATTACTCATGACCTGAAATGGAACGACAATCTATATACAATATAACATATATTTATAATACATATATACACAATTATTTATATTATTTGATGCATTACATACATAATATCATATATATATATGTCTGTGTTTCCATGTGTTTAAATCAACATATAGTTGCCAAAAAAAACAGAAGTTAATTTCAATTATGTTTGAACAATTTTGCTGTTCAACACGTTGGGACTTTATTGTGTATATATATATGTATATATGAATAATCATCCTGGAGTAGATAAAACATGGACATGTCAACAAAAACACCTCACTCAAATGGGAATATCGTTAAAATATCAGTTTCGATCTACTCCATGTTAATGATTATTGTCAAAGTATATATATATATATAACTACATACCCTCCGGTAAATTCAATAATATAGCTATGCGAAATCACAAAATTTGCAAACAGTAAATCAACTTCTATAGTTAAAGTACCAGAGGATAAGGCCCATTAAATCCCATTGAATTATCATGAGCCCTATTGAATCCCATTGAATCATCACAAATCCCATGAAATCCAATGAATTCCTATGAAATCCCATTAACATATAAATAAATAAATGAATAAATAAATAAGTAAATAAATAAATAAATAACCCCTTTAAATCCAATTGAAAAAAAAGATCAACCCCATAAAAGCCTATAAAATCACGATTAAGCCCACCAAATCCTCTGGTTTCCCCAGTTTCCCCAGTTGCCCGTTTCCGTCGCCTTCAGCAGCAGCTCGTAGGCCTTGACGTAGGCCGTCAGTGCCCCGCGAGCATCCTTCCGGAACTCGTTCAAGAAGGCCACCTTGAAGTTGGTACGCACCTGGATGAATGGATAAGCCTGCCAAATGTGGGTCTCTATAGCCATGGTTTTTTTTCCCAATAGCTGGGTGGTTTTTGATTCAAAATGCATCTATATATAAATGGATGATTTTTAGGGGTACTCCGTAGGAAACCTCCAAATTTCAAATCATATTTTTCTAGACGTGATAAATCCGATGGATGAGTATCATGCCCCATGCCGTCATAAAACTTAGTCCTTCACGGACATATAGGTCATAATAACCCCCCAGTTGTGATTATAGTCGTCCATACACGATATTGGGAATATTAACAACATGGATTTAACATCTATTACACCATCTATTCACTATTAAGTTATGATTATAGTTACACCATTAAATATACCATACAATATCTATGGACCATGGACTTAAAGTATCCCCAAAAGCCTCTGGGTGCCATGCCCCACCTGCATGGCCACTTGCATCGGCATGTTGGGCACCTTTGGCGCCCACGCCTTGCGCAGACGCTTCTCCTTTGCCAACAAACATGGTGATTTAAGCATGGGAAAAAACAAGGAAAAGGGACATTTTATCAATTTAATCATGTCACCATGTCTTGAGGATAGCATGGGATATGTACTTTTTTTCGTAGGCGCCCCAGACCGTTAGTTCGTTAGTTAGGGAAGGCTTAGTTTATAGCACCACCTTGAGGTGAACTGGTCAGCCTCTAGTAGCGTAGCACAACAATTTGGAAATCCATGGGTTTCCCCAGGAAAAGAATCTACATTTCTGGCGGGTTTTCCCCTAGGGTAACTGGGTCATGTCCCCAATGGGTTGCAACCATGGCCCGTCTACGGGATCTACAAACAACTTTGGATACTGCCTGGTAACCATCTAACCTGGCAGGCTGGGAATTCCACCTTGTTGAAGGGAATAAAATCATTTGAATATGAATGCTTCCACTGCCAGGTCCAAAAGGGCCTCAAGAATGAGATTGCCACGTTATGTCGTATACATGTTGAGAGACTGACAAGAATGTCATGGAAGGTAAAGATATAAGTTTATCCCGTCGGCTATGAACAAATAAGCAAACCCGCCACTACAATGGGGATTTCTGATATCATGTCCTGCAAAGTTGGCGCTCAAAATATGGTAGATGCAATCGATGTAATGTCGTTAAAACAATAATAAACAATCCCATTGTTGATTGTTGATGGTTTATACCACCCATTTATGGTGAAGGTGGGACGGTGTATTATTGCTTCAACCACATGAAAGGGGATAAATGACCATCTGACCATACTATTTTCCATCAAAAACTTCGAAGAAAAAACTGGGGGGGGAATCACCACTCTTGAACCACCGTTCACGACTTTCAGTGACACATTTCCTCATACCATATCATACACAGGAGATCACAATAGTTACGCTGGCCATTACGGAAAACAGCACCCACCAACTCTTTGCGTTTCACCAACCCATCGGAATTCAGAAAACGGTGGGGACTCCAAACGTGGCCCCGGCCCGTTGGGGAAGTCCCAAGTCCCCCGCCTCATCTGCGTAGAAGGATATGGCGTTCTGGTAGATCAATCTTTCCAGACTGGGCGCCTCCGGTGGACCCCTGGAAATCATCATCGAAATCAATAGGAAGTGATCGATCCAAAGACTCGGCCATGGCTTCTTTGTTCGCAAAATAGCTACTTTGTTTTAAGAATAGGGTAGTGCTGCTAAAAAACTTTATGATTAGCCGCTTAGCCCATTACGAATGACGAATTAAAGCATTTTACGCCACATTAAGCCGACTAAATTCACATTTTTGGTCACTATAGCATCATAAAACCACATTAAATCTCTACTTGTTGATGGTTAAACCGTTAAACCCCATTAAAGTCCATGAAATCCCAGTAACATCAAATTTTACTGCTTCAAATTAAACCACAGTAAAACACATGTTTTCCGTAGTAAACCATATTAATCATCATTAAACCATATTCAATGACCGTTTCAGAAAGCTAGATTGGAGGTACCAACCATATATAACGCCTATGTAAGGGCTACGTAAGGAAATATCAGAATATCCACACTAAACATGGCCAAAAATATGGTACAGTAGCTCCATTTTAGGGTCTGAAATTCCCACGGACACCATGTCTTTATTAACATCCCAATCATATCCAATTATCAGACACATGGTAAAGCCACACTAAACTACCATAATAATAATCATTTAAATTTCATAAACAATCCCTATTTCTTGATGGCCGAATCCAATCTACATCACCAAAAGAATATGAAACGAGATGAACACACATATAATCCCATCTAAACATATAATTAAACCATATTAAACCAAATGATACCGCCGTAAGTTTCATCCCCGCCTTGGCTTTCAGGTCTTCCAGACCCATGGCCATCACCAGCCCGCCGGCACCCTCGTGCAAGCTGCGGGTGGCTGCCTGGCGGCCAACATGACAGCAAACATGTGGAAGATTTACCCAGGGTTTAGTGGAAATTGAATGGAATCAGCATCAACTATAAGATCAATTTACGTCCGACTATTGGAAAATCATGGGAAAACTATGGGAAACTGGCGGAAAACTGTTGGAGAACTATGTAAAACTGTGGGAACATATGAGAAAATTATAAGAAATATGGGAAACCACCATGGGGAAACCATGTGAATCCATGGGGAAACCATGGGAATCCATGGGGAAACCATGGGAATGCATGGGGAAACCATGGGAATCCATGCAGGAAAATGTGGACTCAGGTTTTTTCTTCTATGGAAAATGGAGGATGCCATAGCCAACTAAAATGTATATGTAACTGAACTATGAAACCTTCGTGCATAATGGGATATGATGGGGATATAAGTGGGAAACATGATCCTGTGGTAATTCACCAGGTTGCGGAGTGGAAGCCATGGCTCATTTTGTTCGATGGTTAACCTGCTCTCTCTCTCTCTCTCTCTCTCTCTCCCTCTCTCTCTCTCTCTGTGATTTTCCACGGTTATCTTAAATTAACGGAATGTATCTATCTAGTAACTCAAAGTTGTTTGTGCATTTCGAGGAAACTGGATTCCTCATTCAACATGGTTTCATAGTTTTAAGATATTCACAATTCGTTCAATACGGTCTTAATATGATAATTACTTATATAATATGAGACTTCATGCAATTCTCTAAAAAACATACAAGCTAAACACACATATTAACAACACTGGATTTGAGCTGAAATTGAGGATATTCACTATTAATAATGCCACTTATTACAACGTGGGTGGGGCCACCAGTCCTTAGCCAAATTAATTTAGTTCACTATTTTAAGGATGGTTTATGGTAGTAATATCGAACCAGCTACTTGGGTTTATTAACCAACTTATACCATGTGCTTATTTGACATAGCTATGAACAAATGATCGGTTCATAGGTGATAAAGAGCAAAAACACATGATTGACCTGATTTTACCTATTAAAAATGATGATTTTGTGATGATTTTCCAGTTCGCTATGATAACCAAAGAGTCATACCACTGGCCGAAGGATCCGGAAGGATCTCCTGCGGTCGCCTCCGGGTCGGCGCTTTTGGGGTGGAGCACCACGAAAAGCACCAGGCGCAAGTCCCGCTCCTGGCCAGGCCCCTGGGATCCAAAGGAAAGGCCCTGGGTCCGATGAAACTTCATGGGTTTAATGCGGTTTATTGAATCATTGTTCAATTTGCATTTCATGTCAATGTTTGATATTTCTTGTGTTTTGTTCATAAAGATTCATATCATACTATAGCATACTATATAGTATAATCAATCCGTTATAAAAATGGGTAAATAACAATGATTCCATGAAAAATCCCAACAAATCCCATAATTTCCGTAGATGTGATTCATTAAATCCTAATAATCCCATAATTAAATCCCAACAATTTCCTATGGATGTGACTCATTTTCCCTCGCCTTTTTGGTTTTCTCGTAGGTCTCCATCCGTCACCTCTGACCTGCGCCGGCGACCCTGGGACCCTGTCCTTTGCCTGTCGCCGCGCGTGCTGCAAATAGTGCAAGGCTTGAGACTCTTCCTGCAGGATTCGTTGGGATTTCATGGGATTTAGCCAACCATGATTGCCTGGGATTTATTTCGGAATATCATGGGATATAATGGAATCATTTGGGATCTCATGGGATTGTGGTTATAACTGTGGTCTATTATATTATTTTACCGTTGTTTATTGACCAATAACAAAAAATATAATATAGCATGACAGTATCACCCTGTTTTCCTTTGCGTTGGTTGAATGGCGTGTTGACTGGGAAATCCACGAAATGGGGCTATGGGAAATGGCGATGAATTAGCACCAAAAATTGGGACTTGACAAATTTGGAGATTGCACCAGCCAAAAATGCCTGGTTCTACCATGAACATGGTTTCAAGCTGATGAAATATCATGAAAAATTGCGGTGCAATGGAATAGAATAGGGATACGATGATGGTTCGACGATCCCAGACATGGTTGAAGGGAAAATCTGCAGGAACCCCCTACATTTGATGACGAAACCTTTGATTTCCTCCGGATGCTCCCTTAAACCAATGTATTAAAACTAACAAATTTTGGCATTACAAACTAACTGAACTAACTAACCAAACAAATGCATTAGGCCGCCTCAAGAATATGATGGGAAACCATCAGAGGTTGCACATTAGGACATGGTCCCACCATATACTGATTGGACCTTGTATAATTTACAAAAGAACACACACACATATATATATATATATATATTACGTATATAGATATGTATTACGTATATATATATATATATATATGTCTTGCCAAGCCCGTGTTTGGCTTAAGACTGGTGGGGGGGGGGGTGGTGCACGGCAAGGTGCTAAAATTTCAAAAATAGGTGCTCAAATTTAAGGAAATAGGTGTTTTTTTGAAGAAACCGGGTCGGGATCCAGTCGGGACCCAGTCTGGACCCAATCGGGCACCAATTTTTGCATTTTTGGGCACCGCTTTTGGCCAGTCGGGATCCAGCCGGGATCCAGTCGGGATCCAGTCGGGCACCAATTTTCGAATTTTTGGCACCACGTTTGGACCTGTCGGGAAGCAGTCAAAATCACCCAAAAACATGCAAAAACACTGCAAAAATGCTATTTTTTATGAATTTGGCTGCCTCCCGACATTGGTGCCCGACTGGATCCCGACTGGATCCCGACTGGCCAAAAGCGGTGCCCAAAAATGCAAAAATTGGTGCCCGACTGGGTGCCGACGGGATCCTGACTGGATCCATAGATTGGCAAGAACCCACTCCCGCACCTATTTTTCCCTTCCCAGACCCACCCTTGCCCCTATTTTCCTTTTCCGCGCACCAGCCGTGCACCAATACCCCCCCCCTCCTGCACCAAAACGGTAAAAGCAGTCTTAAGCCAAACGGGGGTTCTACAATATATGTCCCAGAATCATTATCCATACATGGTCATATGACAATCAGAGGTTGAACCTTTTGTTTCAATGTTTATTACCAATTCCAAACAATGTGTACTGACTATAGTGGGATTTCCAGCAGGGTATTTGATGTCAATTGTCAATAATGATCATCATCTAAAGCTGGACTTAAATTAGCTATATACATAAATAGCTAGATAGATAGATAGATGGATGGATGGATGGATAGATAAGATATATATATATATATATATTTGTTTGCAGTACCATTCTTAACCATTTCTTTTTTAGCATTATTAACTGATATTCAATATACTTACTTAATCATACACTGTTGATATAATCACTGAATCTCACCCGACCACGGCGATTGAGTTCTCGCTCCTGCTCCGCTTGGCTCAGCTCCTGGGACCAATCGATGCAGAGCACCAGCACCGCGGGGATGCTTCCGCACCTGGGTGACAGGGGCGAAGGAAAGCCAGGGGCGGCATGTTTTCCGCAGCAAAATGCTGGGTTCAACAGATATGATAGGGAATCATGCTGGGATTTCCTGGGGATTCATGCGGATTTCATGAGGAATATAAGTATAAATATATATATATATATAGATAAATAATAGGAATATTAATGGTGATATACCCTCTGGAATCCCTCTGGTAATTTGGTGCATAGATGAAAACAATTGCAAATTTATAGATAACTAAGTACTCAACATGGTGATTTTACATAGCTATATGTGAAATTACCAAAAGTTTTCCATGAATTTAATGGTGCTTACACCGTGATTTAACCAACAAACAGCGATAAGCAAGGTGGGTTCCGCATAAGTATTGTAGCCTCGGGTGCCAACAGTTTGCGAACTGGAACATCGCCAAGTTTTAGAGGTGATTCATAGAACCAAATGGGTCATGTTCAATAGCTATCTTAGACTACTTGTATTTGGACTACCGAGTCACTATTTGGACTATTTGGACTAATTTATTTGAGGACTATTTGGATCCATTTGGATTCCTAGAATATAGATGAATATAGTATTTGGGTATAGTATGAGAGTAGATCCCACTGATAGCCATAGATAGTACGATATAGTGGTATAACTTTCTGTTTGGACTACGGCAAACAAAAACAAAAAAAACATTAGAAGCTTTGCAATAATATAACCTTCATGGTATACTTACTGAATAATCGTAATCATTGGATTGCGATTATGACTCATGTCTTAACTGACACTAATTATATAGTGGGAAGGAGTTAATGGCAACCCGTAATTATTATTCAACAATGAGTTCAATATATGTTCATTTGCCATCTACATTGCACCCCTTCAGGGCCCCTTCAACTACATAAACATCCAACGGGAGCATGAAACATCAACAATAACAGGTACGGTACGGATAAGGATTTCTATGATACCTTTCTTTCTATTATAAGGTATCCTTTACTCAGGTATCCCTTCTATTAATAAACAACTACGTAAGGATCAGGATTCTCATGGCTATCACCGCCCAGGCACATTTTCTCCAACCAACTGCGCTTCAAAACGCCCTCCCAGCGATAGTTAGGACTGTCGCGCCCACCGCGCTTGGCAGGCAAAATCCGCATGTCATAGCTGCTACTGAGGTACCTGGCGCTGGAGCTGAGAAAAAGATTCAGAACTGGCTGGTGACTTCTAGCCACACAAATGTTTTGGAGAAAAGTAGGTTTGTATCATCCTCCCACATAGGGTTGAAGATCAAGAAATCTTGAAAACCACGAACCAGAACAAGAATTGGAGATTAAACAACATGTTGAACCATCAAAATAACACATATCATATAACACTCTGATTTTGCCAACATAATAGCAGGATTAGGCAGCAAAAAATTGGATTAAATGCCACCATCCGATTATCTTCCTTCCCTTCACTTGAGCCATGAAAAATCAATTGGAGGGTCTTCTAGCTGGCTGATTGAGGGACTAGTTCAGCCCATAATAGGAATATTTACTAACCAACCAATGTAACGGGATGGGATAGAGGAACTAACATAGCTATGGCCATGTAGCTCGATGAATTACCATTGTCAAGTTCGCAAACCGTGGCAGTTAATGCCAAAGGGCAGCATCTATACAAATTAATCATTCATATAGTCTTGGAAAATCAATTATATTCCCATCAACATCCCAGTAACATCCCTCTGCTTCAGGGTTTTCAAAACCGTTTTGTTCCCGAGAGCGTCTGAGCGCAGGGTTCTTCCAATAGTGGGGGTCTGTAAAACATCTTCTCATCTTCACATCTTCTCTCACATCTGCTCATCTTCACATCTTCTCTCACATCTTCTCTCACATCTGCTCATCTTCACATCTTCTCTCACATCTTCTCTCACATCTTCTCTCATCTGCTCATCTTCATATCTTCTCTCACATCTTCTCTCACATCTGCTCATCTTCACATCTGCTCATCTTCACATCTTCTCTCACATCTTCTCTCACATCTCCTCTCACATCTTCTCTCGCATCTGCTCATCTTCACATCTGCTCATCTTCACATCTTCTCTCACATCTTCTCTCACATCTGCTCATCTTCACATCTGCTCATCTTCACATCTGCTCATCTTCACACCTTCTCTCACATCTTCTCATCTTCACATCTGCTCATCTTCACATCTTCTCTCACATCTCTCTCACATCTTCTCTTCACATCTGCTCATCTTCACATCTTCTCTCACATCTTCTCTTCTCTCACATCTTCTCTCACATCTGCTCATCTTCACATCTTCTCTCACATCTGCTCATCTTCACATCTGCTCATCTTCACATCTTCTCTCCTTTCTCTCTCCCTTTTCTCTCTCTCGCCTTCTTTATCTTTCTCTCTTAAGGCCGAGGGTGGTGCCGGCGGCGAGTCACGAAACGTCAACCCTTTCGCACGAAATGAGGGTCGATCGTCAAAAAACTGAGGAAAAAGTTGCGATTTTACTTGTCCTGGAGCAACCCTTTCGCACGAAATGAGGGTCGATCGGCAAAAACTGAGGAAAAATTGCGATTTTACTTGTGCCGGAGCAACCCTTTCGCACGAAATGAGTGTCGATCGTCAAAAACTGAGGAAAAATTGCGATTTGACTTGTCCCGGAGCAACCTTTTCGCACGAAATGAAGGTCGATCGGCAAAAACTGAGGAAAATTGCGATTTTACTTGCCCCGGAGCAACCCTTTCGCACGAAATGAGGGTCGATCGGCAAAAACTGAGGAAAAATTGCGATTTTTCCTGTGCCGGACTTGTCTGTGTGTAAAAGCGTCTGTGTGTAAAAGCGTCTGTGTGTAAAAGACTGTGTGTGCAAAAGCGTTTGTGTGCAAAAGCGTGTGTGTGTAAAAGCGTCTGTGTGTAAAAGCTTCTGTGTGTAAAAGCGTCTGTGTGTGTAAAAGTCTCTGTGTGTAAAAGCGTCTGTGTGTAAAAGCGTCTGTATGTCAAAGCGTTTGTGTGTAAAAGCGTCTCTGTGTGTAAAAGTCTCTGTGTGTAAAAGCGTCTGTGTGTAAAAGCGTCTGTGTGTCAAAGCGTCTGTGTGTAAAAGCGTCTGTGTGTAAAAAGCGTCTGTGTGTAAAAGCGTCTGTGTGTAAAAGCGTCTGTGTGTAAAAGCGTCTGTGTGTAAAAGTGTCTGTGTGTAAAAGCGTCTCTGTGTGTAAAAGTCTCTGTGTGTAAAAGCGTCTGTCTGTAAAAGCGTCTGTGTGTCAAAGCGTCTGTGTGTAAAGCGTCTGTGTGTAAAAGTGTTTGTGTGTAAAAGCTTCTGCGTGTAAAAGCGTCTGCGTGTAAAAGCGTCTGTGTGTAAAAGCGTCTGTGTGTAAAAGCGTCTGAATGTAAAAGCGTCTGTGTGTAAAAGCGTCTGTGTGTAAAAGCGTCTGTGTGTAAAAGCGTCTGTGTGTAAAAGCGTCTGTGTGTAAAAGCCTCTGTGTGTAAAAGCGTCTGTGTGTCAAAGCGTCTGTGTGTAAAAGCATCTGTGTGTCAAAGCGTCTGTGCGTAAAAGCATCTGTGTGTCAAAGCGTCTGTGTGCAAAAGCGTCTGTATGTAAAAGTGTTTGTGTGTAAAAGTGTTTGTGTGTAAAAGTGTTTGTGTGTAAAAGCGTCTGTGTGCAAAAGCGTCTGTGTGCAAAAGCTTGTGTGTGTAAAAGCCTCTGTGTGTAAAAGCGTCTGTGTGTAAAAGCGTCTGTGTGTAAAAGCGTCTGTGTGTAAAAGCGTCTGTGTGTAAAAGCGTCTGTGTGTAAAAGCGTCTCTGTGTAAAAGCGTCTGTGTGTAAAAGCTTCTGTGTGCAAAAGCCTCTGTGTGTAAACGGGTCTGTGTGTCAAAGCGTCTGTGTGTAAAAGCGTCTGTGTGTAAAGGCGTCTGTGTGTAAAAGCGCTTGTGTGTAAAAGCGTCTGTGTGTAAAAGTCTCTGTGTGTAAAAGCGTCTGTGTGTAAAAGAGCCTGTGTGTAAAAAGCGTCTGTGTGTAAAAGCGTCTGTGTTTAAAAGCGTCTGTGTGTAAAAGCGTCTGTGTGTAAAAGCGTCTGTGTGTAAAAGCTTCTGTGTGTAAAAGCGTCTGTGTATGTAAAAGTCTCTGTGTGTAAAAGTGTTTGGGTGTAAAAGTCTCTGTATGCAAAATCGTCTGTGTGTAAAAAGCGTCTGTGTGTAAAAGCGTCTGTGTGTAAAAGCGTCTGTGTGCAAAAGCTTGTGTGTGTAAAAGCCTCTGTGTGTAAAAGCGTCTGTGTGTAAAAGCGTCTGTGTATGTAAAAGTGTCTGTGTGTAAAAGTGTTTGGGTGTAAGAGTCTCTGTATGCAAAATCGTCTGTGTGTAAAAATCTCTGTGTGTAAAAGTGTTTGGGTGTAAAAGTCTCTGTATGCAAAATCGTCTGTGTGTAAAAGTCTCTGTGTGTAAAAGTGTTTGGGTGTAAAAGTCTCTGTGTGCAAAATCGTCTGTGTGTAAAAGCGTCTGTGTGTAAAAGTCTCTGTGTGTAAAAGTCTCTGTGTGCAAAAGCGTCTGTCTGTAAAAAGTTCTGTGTATGAAAAACTTTACAAAAATACGATGCAAACTATTGTCTTGTACTAGTCATATATTGTCTTGATACTACTCTTCTCGTCTGCCTATAATACATCTTTATCATATTATCTTGTAATATAGTGTCTCCATACTAACAACAGAAGACTCTGCTCCTCTACGCTCTCGGGCCATCCGTCGTCTAGTATGGTCACATCATATTAAATTTCATTATATGTTTATCCCCATGATATTCCCATGAAATTCACTCATCAACAGAGTCTCAGATGTGTTTGTTTTGTGTTTTGTACTCAAAATCCACTGATTTATGGCATCATGTTCCTCCGTTAATGGGTTACTAAATGATTTTATATGGTTATTATCCACTGAAAATGGGTCACTAAAATCACCCTGTTGGTGGTATTTTTCATGCCCCTCCGAGGCGCTTGAAGCGCCGCTGCTTGCAGGCGTTCACCGCCGCATCGTGTAAGGCTTCGGTGAGCTGCGGATGGAGCGAGGTAGCACCCACCAGAGATGCCAAGAGCAAGGGATGGCCCTGCACCTGCAAGGTGTGCCCCTCATTATTCTAGTTTGGAACGGTTGGTTATGCCGGGTTGGTTTAGGGTGCACCTGATGCTACATAGCAAAAGGAATGTTGAGCAATGGTGGGGTGTGTTTGGGATCATTGGGATATACATTGATACAGCCAGCTGAATATTCGGCATACTGGCCAAACAAACTGGTTTTTGGCTGAGACCCCTTGACAAAAGTGAGTGAAATCACTCATTGATTCAGTTTCCCCACCAATAAGACAGCAAAGCAAAATAATACACAACAAACCATGGACAATCTTAGATATCCTCAAAAGAGTTGACTTTTTTTGTTGGTTCTTGTATGTCATCACCCTTTTCTCACAGAAATTTAAATCATTTCAAATCCTACATCATCTATCCCCAATAGCTTTTCCCTGGTTTTCCCTGTCTCTTTTGTTTCGTGGCTAGCTTCCCCTATGTTGCAAAAAACATGGTTTCAGCCCTATAGACCTGGCCCCGGGCCCAGCCTCGCGAGGGTACTCCTCCATGGCGGCCACCTTTACTCCATGCACCAGCTGGAAGCTTGGCTGGCATACTTTGGAAGAAAAAGATGAGTCACTTGGGATCAAGCAGGGATCATACCAACAGCGCGCTGTTGGTGAAGAAATTGGACGAAATTAACTTGATACCACGTGTCCGTTTCTTCACATGTTTGCTTCTGAAGTGCGGTAGCAACACTATGATCCAAGGTGCTGCTTGGGCTCCGCCAATGTTCATTTGGAATAATCCTGCTGAGGAAGTGATTGCCATGAGTTCGAACTGAAATCAGGGCAGCGAATCTGCATGACAAAGCCAGTGATTGGGCGGGAAAAGGCCATGAACCATGCGCCCTTAACATCTAAGGGTTTCGTTGATCAAAAACCAAAAATCCGGGTGGAATTCTGCCATGCCACTTTGTTGACTGGGGATGTTCATCATCACAAGAAAGACACAATCATTAAGTAAGGCATATAATTATATACTAGATTTTCTTGTAAATATCTACGTATGCATTTGTCAATGAATATATATATAGGTATTTTGTTGAAACCTACACCTCTTGCAACGCAGTCCCAGTTTGAAGCAGCTCTTACAGCTCCCACTGCCTAATGTGTTTTCACATCACATGCCCCCCCAAAAAACCTTTTTGGTGGAAAGTTTTGCATAAAATGATGCGCCTAAACATCTGAACATAACATTGATAAGTCGGTGATCTTAAGGTTCCCCTGAAATTGGCTATTTTGGAGGCTTACCATCTGGTTATTTAACATAGACATGGAAAATCACGATTTTTAATAGGTAAACCATCCATAAATGGGCCATCTATACCATGGCTATGTTAGTCATAACCAGAAGGTAAATTTCTGGCGAAACCGGCAACTATCTGGCGCAACCGCAACCATCAACCGACCGCCGCAGCTGCAAAAAAGGTCCCCCCACGGCAGGGCATTCCCTGCAGCGTGCGCCAGCAGCATCGGCTGCGAACTACAAGGTTTTACATCCACTTGGACAACTATTCAACCCATGAACAACATGGACATGATGGACATGGACATGTATTTGCAAACTACGCGGAGTTTTACCAAAATCAGCACACACGTGTCATCATGCTGAGTTCCAAGAAGTCACCATCATGAGACAAAGGTTCGGTGTAGTGCCAAAAACACACACAAGTCAATTTTCATCATCTCTTTTGTTGGATGGAACATGAACAATGCGAATGAAACTAGAACCAGGTGTTTACTGTAGTTTGCTAAAATCACTCCTTGTTGTGGTTGTCAAATTTACATTGGGTTCACGCGAATCGACACCAGGGTGTTTCTCATTGAAGGTTCCACCCGGACTACGAGCGCTCCTGACAGTCCTGTGATGATTGGGGGGATGACTCGTTGGATGTCACACTGAGGGCACCCTCATTGCCTGAATCTTGGACATTTAGCGCTCCTCCCCACTATTTTCAACTCCTTTGGCTCAACGATGGCCAGCTTGCTTCAAATGTGCTTACGGTATCTCCATTATCTCCAATCCCAGTAAATTGCCTGTGTTTATCCGCCCAATATCCCTATTAATCTCATCGGCGGTGCATACAAAACACACCGATAGTATGGTCCCAAATATGTGCGTTTATCCCCTACTAAACCGTCGCTTCTGGGTTTATCTTGAAGGGCTGAACGGGGAATGGGATTACCATAACTTAATTATGAGGTTTATAGTTATATATATATATATACTTATTTATTTACATTATACATACATACATACATACATACATACATACATACATACATACATACATACATACATACATACATACATACATACATACACACATACATACATACATACATACATACATACATACATACATACATACATTACATAAATGAAAAAATACATAAATGAAGAAACAAAAAATAAAGAAACAAATCAAGAAATAATATATATATAATATAATATATATATAATATAATATATATATATATATATTATATATTAATATTCAAATCCCTTCACCACTCACACATGCCCAGTTGCACTGCTGCGGCTTGGGCCTGGTGCA